TTGGTCGATATCGAGACCCATTGAATCCATATGGTGATTTTCAGACAATGATAAAAATTACATGTATTCTTAAACCAGGTGGTCTTTTGTTTTTGAGTGTACCACTTAATACTCATGATTTCATACAGTTTAATTTGCATCGTATATATGGCCCTATTCGTTTACCATTATTATATCGACATTTCCATGTTGTCGAAGTGTTAGGCTCAGGGATGGCGAAAAACCACGGTGATTTTACTTCACAACCGTTTGTCGTTTTACAAAATAAAATAGGATGTAAGAACGGGTAGTGCTAACGGGATAAACAAAAGTAATAATGGTAAGGTGAAGGTAAAAATGGCGTTTCAATATAAAGCATAGCTGGTTTTCAGGAACTGACTTTCTTTAAGATGTAACAAAGGGATATCTTCGAGGGAGTAAATTAGATATTTGAATTAAACTTCAGAAAAAATTGTACCTACGAAGGCTGAGTGCTTGTACATCTGTGCAACAGAAAACTGTCCGCATTCAACTCTCTATAAATGCCAGATCCATCTTGTTTTTTCATGTGATCAACATTTTTATTTTCTCGATATGGAACCCTCAAAATGATGTCAACGTTTATGTAGCTCCGAATGGTCTATATAGAAAATTGACATATCTGTATTACAATCCTTAGTAAGAGTATGCCAATGCAAAACAAGTTTTAACTATGAAATGTTGATTACTATTTCGATCAATGAAACAATAATTTATACCGCAAATAAGTGTTTACATCTCAGCATGATTGCTGTTAAGGCCAATGCATCTGTGTAGTAGAAGCATGATCATTGTTGTTGAAAATGAACATACGTTATTTATTTTTCAGTTGACATAACTATCGATATCTTTGGTCTGATAACGACTCTATAATTGGTTAACATAGAATTCTATATTTTATGCATTGAAAATTCTATATAATGTACTGATTGCTGATGCACTTAATGAGTATTCATTATCTACTTCACTTATGGCTATTTCTAGTTTTATAGCAGCTAAAACCGAGTGAGCCATAATATGTGTTCTAATATCTTTACTACTTGTATCTGTTGATTATATGACTTTGATATCGAAGTTATTAATATTTTGATGAAGAAATCAATTAATAAAAATCATATTATCATAATTATCACTTTTCTAAATCGTCGGCTATCCATAGTAATGACTTCGAATAAAAAAATGATAGGTACTTTAAATTATAAAAATAATTTAAGTTTTCGATTATAATTTATCATGTTAAACAACTGCAATAGATTGTTTCGCAAAAAGAAGTTTTCGAATAAGGATTGTTTTTACAAAAAAACCATATTCTCTTTCTACATAGGATATCTTAAGTCAGAATTCCAATATGTTCTGTCGCGATTCGTCAAGGAATAGGTTCAAAGTAAAACGCGGAAGTTCCAGAGAGAACTCGATGTACTCTGTCGATTGCATATTGAACTAGTGAGATTCCATATTTACGTCAGCTATAAATCTCTCTAATAGTCCCCAAAAGCCCATATTTTCGTCTTGAACCCATAGTGGTTTGAGCAAGAGCGCTTTACAATAAAAACAACAACAACGATAATGCACTCAGTGCATCTCGATCTGCTTATAGTTGTATTCAAATGTCAGTTGCTCCAAAGAGGAGGATTCTTTCACGAAGAAAATCACTAATTAGTGTTTAATTCATTAATTTCATGAAGATTTTTATGATTTTTATGATTGTTACAATGGCGGTATCTAACCAAAAGAATAAGCAGTCGTAACGATTCGTACCGTGACATTTTGCTTGATACAAAGAGAGCTTCGAAAATAAGTAGGATTTTGGTATTTAATTTTTCATGGGAATAAAATCTAATCATATCTTTAAAATGATGATCTTCAATGTAAGCCTTTCTATCGTGTTTACGTATTGTACATTGACTTCAAGTTAAACGAACAAGAAGCATACCAAGAGTTCAGATTGCCATACAACACGGGTGTGCCCTTCAGAACAAGACGTTTTCTAGCGCTCAGCAAACGAAAAGAATGAACAATATCTAACTTTTCTTAAAAACCGTACATCTTGTATGAATTTAAGCTTCAAAAATTTTTAAAAAGCGAAAAAGATCTTTAGGATCTCTGAAAAATATTGAATGTCGTTATTGGATGTCGGAGTGGACCGTTGATTTTAATTTGAGTTAATTAAGTAGTTTCACTTAACACTTAATATTAATCAAAAAACTTTTACATTAGCCACTTAACTACTTAATATTAAGTGTTAAAACAATACTTAATCTTTAAAAATTAAATATTACGTTAAGACTTAATTTTAAAAATTAAGTATTTCGTTAATACTTAATATTAAATAATTAAGTGGCTAATGTAAACGTTTTTTTATTAATATTAAATTAACGTAAAGTGCCACCCCTAATTGGATGTCCTACAAAGGAACCTTCAACAATAGTATTAATCAAAAAACTAAAAGGAAAAAAGGAAAGTAAGTTTTAAGATGTAAAATTGTTTGAATTAAAGTATGAAGGTGTCCATTCGATAGAGCTCGAAAAGCGGTATTGGGAAAATTAAACAACTACCCAGGTCGAACAGTCCGGCCTGGAAACGGTAGGTTCCGGTTAGTTCCGTTGATTTTGTGGAAGCAGTATTCCGGTTGAAAATTTTCGGATTTTTTCCGGTGATTTCCGATCAATTCCTGTCGGAAAGCACTGGAACTTGGCACGAATTATCCGGAAAAATCTGGCCGTATTTTTGACCGGAACACTGCTTCAATGTTCCAGCTATTTCCCGTGTTTTTCTGTAGGGTATGGTGACTTTTCCGCATATTTCCTGGAGTATCCTACGGGATCCGGTGGCCAGAATGTTCGACCTGTATATGCTTTACTATTCTCCTGGTCGAATTGTAATAGAAAATATTTGAATCTAATTAGATCTAAGATATCTTACGTTCTCATTCTCCTTTGGTACATTGTATTTTCACCAATTCGAATTTTAAAATAAAAATAATCAATATTTGCCTGATACAGACTATGATGTAGAATTAGCAATAGATCAATATTTTTACTATTTATTAAACCGAATAGGAAACAAAACCTGAGCCTATTCAATAGCGACATCTAACCATGATAGCTGTTGATCTTCATCGAAACATCATTGGATAGATTCAAGGCAGTTAGTCTTCTTCCTTTTCTTTCTATTCTTTCTCACTTTTTTTCAAAATAGAACTTAATTTTAATTATGTCGATAACAAGCAAGAAAAAAGTTTCTACTTCTCCACAACATTCTATGAAAGAACATCATGATCAAAAGACTGATGATAACAATAGAGAAAAAGCATTTGATATTGACAAGATTTCTATTGAAGAGGTACCTAACGAGATGTCAAAAATATAGTCTTCCATAGGAATATTTTATTTCTCTATCGATCTTTCAGCAAAGCATTGTTTCTAATTTGAAACTTGTTCCTCGTTCAGATACACACGACCAACGATTGGGAACATGCTGATCTTGGAGATGAAGAGCGTAAACAAAAGTTTCTTCGATTAATGGGCGTTAAAGTAATATAGAAAGAGAGAAAATACAAATAGACAAACAAAGTTTATTTCTAGAAACGTAAAGATGACAATCGAACCAGTATGCAAGATTCATTTAGCATAAATCATGACGATGCACTTTTATCAGAAAAAAAACATTCTCGTTCAAGTCTGTTTAATTTTGTTTCTCTTTGATGTATATTATAATATTAAAAAAAACTTATTTAACATATGTAGGAACAGAAAATGAAGCAATCAATCTTGAATTAGAAAAACAATTCAATGAAAGCTTACAATCAAACATTTTACATACACATCATGAAGGTCTCGGCTTTCAGGGTGGTGATATTAGCATTCCTTCGAGCTCAAACGATTGTCATAATCATCCAATCAAAACGAAATTTATTCCAGCTTCACCAGTAATTGCATCTTCTACGTTGAATGAAACAATCAGTCAACAATTAGAGAGTGTAAAAAATAAATGAAAGTCATACGAACTATACGTTACTTGTTTATTTTCCAAATCCTGCAAATAAAAAAAAAATTACTGTTAGATAAAAAGGAGTAGAGAAGATTTTTCAACATTTGGTTTCATACTGGAGCTAAATTTTTCTTATGACAAGACAAGTAGTCAATAAAAATTTTAATCGTAAAATTCGAGAAAATTCTATGAATAATAATTAAAAGTTATGAGAATTATTTCTACACGATTTCTGTTTAGTGTTAAGTTGTTAGTAAATTACGGACGTATTTTGACTCACGCGTAGATATTACTTGAACAAATGTACATACATATATTCTATCGGTACTATCTGTAGAAAATATTTTTTGTTTTTCTATTTGTAATTTATTTTCTCAAGAGTACTCTAAATGATATAAAATAACTACTTGAATATAGGAATTTATTTGTACTAGGAAGCTTTCATCTCTGTCTGATAGGTAACGTTGTTTTGTCATGTCACGCTGCTGTGTCACTAGATTTCGAAAACACTGTCATGGAATATTTTTTGTAATATCGTGATTTCAATTTTAATATCATTCAATTCCTTGAGAGAACATCGCATGGCATCAATGTTATTTTGTGGATATTGACAGGGTTTTCCTTTAAGTGAGGGTACACGCACTAACCCGAATGATCAACTAAGTCGAGGCATATCTGATCATCGACTATATTAAGATGCAGCTTACTAACCGAGATAATAAACTAGCGAATATTTTTGTTCAATGGCTCTGACGGGTAGATTCAAACGAAAACAGCTGTATCAAGACATTTCCTGATTTAGTGAGGGACACAATTGACTGCTGCTTTGATGGGGTGGTGGAAGAGGAGAAAACGAAGCAACATTTAGTAGACGTGTAAGACATAATTGTTGTTCAGTATCTATTTCGCGGTTCGAGTCTGTTGAATGTAGAATATTAAAAAGATGTTATGAACAATATGTTGTACTTTGGGAAACGGAATTGGATTGACACGATCGTTTTCATTGTTACGTACTACAAATCAATCTATGTGAAAATTTTCCATTCTTTTTTACGTTTGACCTCGTTAGGTTCCATCAATCATTGTATACATTTTTCCGAAGTTTAGTTCATGTAGAACTCAATAAAGCATATGTCAAGATTGATCAAATTCTTTCAAATTTTCATTTGAGGAAGCCTCAAGATGGCGTTGTTGAGAATTTTTCGAATTATTACAATCCTGGTAAAGTGTAGAATCAATCGTCTTAACAATATAATCGATAAGATTACTAGATGATTCAGGATTGTCTTCTACATACTCTTGAACGACAATTGTCAATTCATTGGAGCATTGTAACGAGCTATAAAATGAACGCCAAGCATTCTGGCTAAATTTAGTCAATACATGGTAAAACTTCAGTTTTTTTTACTTCGTTTCCATCGTTAAAGCTGATATCACTGCTGTTCACCATCTCATATGAGTATGAAGTTACCGAATGATATGTGTAGTTCTTTCTTAGATTACATCATCTGAATAGATGATTGAAAAACATACCAAAAATCGTCGTATGAAGAAAACAAGCCTATATTCGAGACTGCAATGACTGTCAATATATTTTTGAAAAATATCGAAAACAAGTCATCAATGGATTGAACCATCACTCATCTACTAGTCCGAAATAAACGAATCGTCTAAAACTGATTTATAGCTGCCAATTTATATCTTTGCATTGAAACATGATTTTTCATCTGTAAAAATGTTATAGGGATGTCCTATTTTAATCTAGAAGTTAGATTTGATTGGTAGAAGAAGAAAGACAGTGATATTTTGGAAAATGATAGCGACGCGACAAATAATGATTTATAACATGGATTTAGATTTGCTAATATTCTTAAAGTAATTCGTTTCCTACTGATGACCTTTCTAGCGTAATCGACTGCCATGTAGCGTCAGAAGATACATCTTATTATGTTCATGTTCTGTTTTGACGGAGAAAACAAAATATACAATACTATTACAACATGCATATGTGGTCGATGCATATGATTTTGTCTGTCGATATAATAAATCAAACCATGTAACTGATAAAATGTGAACTAACCATCAGAGGTACCCGAGGTAAAAAGAATTTGTTTTATTTTTGACATAATTTTCAGGCTAGAGTTTATTTAATATATTTTGTATACTTATTTCTTCATGCTAGATTGAAAAAAAACTATCTATCAGCGTCGACCACAAAAAAAGTAGTTCACTTCGAAAAATCTGTTTTTCTCAAAAAAAAGGCACTCACCATTCTTTTGCTTTGTTCAAGATTTTGTTTTTGAATTTACCAGTAGGGGTTGTACTTTATCTATATTTTTTCGAAAAAAGATAAAGAATAAAGTGTCACCCTTATTTGCAAGCTCACATTTTGTCAATTCACACAAGAATAAGACGATAAAATTCAACTAAAAGTTCGAAATATTGGGGTTGCACGAAATTTAAATTTTATCAATTCATATTGGGTTTACCAAAAGTTTTTCATACATCGCTATTAATCAATTTAAATTTATTAACAAATGCTGTTTTTAAACCATAAATACACAAGTACATTTTTCATCTCTGCTAATAAACTTCATAAGTACTTTACAGCGTTATCACATTTAATTACAATGAAAAAAAAGTACCTATTCTTTTCTCCATATCAAAATAAAATATTAGGCAATTTGTTTTCGTTTTTAATTGTACCAATAATATATGCAATGTTTCTAATATTCGGATAGTCTGAATGATACGTGAGTGTGCGTGTCTAAATGAGTTGAAGTTGAGCATAGAAATCGACACTCACGTCCTTTATTTTAAAACTCAACATTTCTTCATCAACCATTTTATTATTATATATTGCCATGAAAAAATGAATCTCGAATAAAATTATGTGGGATTAAACCGGAATAAAACCACAAAATTTGTGCTACATTCATTGTTAAGCTTGTGAAGCATCGTGACATACATAATTTCACGTAGCATTTTGTAATCTTTTCCCTAACACAAGTAACATTGCAATTTCAATAACTGTACTGTTTTTGAACACTACCACGTAGATGACTGAGTGACTTTCGAGCTTTCAAATTTTGCATCAACAAGAAAAACCAAATTTTTTATTGAATAATTCTTAGATAGATTGTTCAATAGCTTTGAAATGACTACAAAAATACGGAACAGTTTCTAGCGGTTTATTATTAATCATCCGTCATTATTTACTGAAAATACATTCATAAGATGAAGAAGAGAACAACTTTTTCGTTTATATTTAAAATCATTTTGTAATTGCTGAAATCGGTAATGATGCTGTTTTATATTGATTGGCTTTGCCAGCTGTAATAGAATTTATAATTTGTGATAATCTTTGTCTATTTCTACATCGACATTGGAATAAACGAAAGAATTCTTTTCGAAATTCAGCTAATGTTACAAAATATAATAAAAATGATAGCGAATGATAAGTATATTTAATCGAATCTAAAAGACTTAATACAATATGTTGAAATGCGACTGTTTGAAGTTGTGTATGAAAAAAGCCAAATATAACGGCAGGTGGTGTTGTCATTAAACAAAAGAGAAATGCTGATAAAAGTATGGGTATTGATATTGATGAATGTCGAATACGAGATTGTTGTAATAATGATGTTCGTTTTATTAAAATTAAATGTCGAATAATTAATAGATTAAAGATTAACATTAAAATAAAAGGTATTATATTATATAATGCTAAATTTATATAACTCCATGATGGATATAGATGAAACGAACGTGAATTACCTGATATTCGTGTGCCATTGTGATGAGAATAACATGCAAATATAGGTAAGTGTATATTAATAAGTGCTATAATAATAAAAGTAAAAACAATAGAGAATATAACACGACGGTGGCGATCATTTATTCGACAATGTCGAATTTGATTTAATGCATAAAACCGATCAATACACATACATACACGTAACCATGCTGATGATTGATTTAAAAAATGATTTAAATATGTTGACAATTTGCATGATATTACTGATAATCGATCAACTTCAAAATCAAATTTTAAACGAAAAAAATGATCTAAATTCCAACCATAAAGAAGAACTATATCAATCAATGCTATGACACGCATGTAACGGATAGTTGGTCGTTGACGAAATACTTTTTGATAGAAAATTATCAATGTCAAACTATTCAATATTGTTGTTGCACATGTTAAACATAGAGGATAGTAAGTAAACACTAGTGTACCGAGAGATGCACGACGCGATGACATTTTTTTACAGAATAAAATGATTTGTAAAGATCTATTTGATGATTCTCATGGAATTTTTTTTCTCTGCATGTCTCATAAATTATGAAAGTTCTAATTATCAGAGATGTTTATTTATATGTAAACATATATATATATATATATATGATTCAATCACGTATGTCGGGCAAAGTTCAAAATTAAGAGATGATATTTACATTGATAATAAGACATTTTAGATTCCTATAGAATAGACTTCGTTCTTTACAAAAAACACACATCGTGACAATCACGACGGATAAAGATTTTCATTATCAGACAATTAAATATGTGTGGATATTAAAAGTGCATTTATTCTGAACTTTCGACGTTCTCTCATGAGTTTTATTCTATAAATAGTATTTTCAATTAAGACATTTCTAACAACATTAGATAATTATTACACATGTTTTGAAGATAAAATATCTTGCCGTGCTACTGTTTTCTACTGTTAATAATTGTGTGTGAATTTCTGATTGTTCGATCTCAGATTTAATTTCTAACAAAACAAGAAAATCTCTTCTTATAACAAGTTCACTTCTGATATCGTAACACAGCTCGTTTTTTTTTATGACATACCACTGCTACTTTCGTCACCCAATGTTTCTCTAAATTAAAAAATACCTTGCTATCTCAATAAGCATTAATGCGTAGTTCAGTGTTAATCATCGTTAACGATAATTCACAGAACACACATTCTCGTTCGATGCTCGAAAATTAGCAAATTACTTCAAATTTTACTAGAGCATTTTAAAGGTATATTGGCAATCGTAAAAGCATTAAAATCTTCGAGTTCAAGTATTTCTAAACACAATTAGTTCTTCAATTTGTATCAGCAAAAATAAACTGCTAATTGTTAATTGATTAGAAACGATTGTGTTTGTTGCAAGCCTAATAATATCTATGAACGAAAGGAAATCAAATAAAAACAATAGTAACAATTCAACTGGATTCAAAATAGTAAAAAATATCATGTTGTCTATAGATTGATAAAAATTCAACAAGTCTTTATTAGTCATGAGGAAATTGATATAGTATTTGAAAAACAACTCTCCATTAAAGTGTCCGTTATGAATGAATACTTTCATAAACATCTGAAAGAAATTTTTATTTATTTTTATTTTTGCTAAACTGTTGTATGATAAGACTTTTCTAAATTTAAACCAATCTGTTAAAACTATAATATATATATAACGAGTAAAGAATAAGATACAGCTTTTTAGGTTTTTTAAAAATCCGTTTCTTCGTGTTTGGTTTTCTAATATGGTATGCGTATGGCTTTTCATTAACTCTACCCTCACATCCAATAAAAATCAGCTATAATAAAAAATGCGTATGCAAAATAAAATTTTAGGAACTCAGAAAACAAATCGATGCTATTATTATTTTTGTATCACGCAATTCGTTATTGTTAGTAAAGTTACGTACAGTTACAAGTATCTGAAGTAAATAATTTTCGATATCTGTGTGCAATTTGGTTCAGAATCGATTTTGCCTGTCTTTTTGGTTCGATTTGAATTCGATTACCTGTTGACTGGTCAGTTTACAGTGGCCATTTTGCAAGGCCCATAAATTATACCATCAGAATTATATCTATTTGTCTAGAGTAAAACTCCAATTATAGTTCCATTAATTTAAGAGAATATTCGACAAATTTTCCCTATCAAACTGAGTAGATGTTCGGTAGGGTCAAGCATCTTTTATGCTCATAAAACTCTCATGCAGTAAAAATCGGCAAAAATTGATGATTTTAGAGACCCGATTACTAGGGGCGCCACCAGAAAAAGTTGTAGGNGGGGGGGCAGGCTAAGTCGTTGGTCTAAGCCATCGTAGGGGGACTAAATTAATTTTTTCTAGGGGTGCTGGGTCCCTAGCCCCCCTCTGGCCACATTCCTACCGATTACCGGATCTATTGCAGCTATTAGCCACTGCTTTTCTTCCATTTATTGACACCTTCATAGTAAATCACATTTTACTACTAAAATCTATCTGGTTTTGTGAAATGGGCTTATTATTGTATCGGGTAGAAATATTTAAATGAATTTATGTTGAATTCAAATACCTGATGCCTATATCATTTCTCACTAAAAATATTTCAGGATTAAAGACTATCTTTTACTCACTCTTAGAGTAAAATCAATAATTATTAATAATAAATATCTTGAACATATAATAAATATGTGAATCTTTAAAACTGAAAACCAAACACAAAAGCCTATTGCTCATATATAGATGTGTTATTTCTTATCTGTGCAGCTATAAGATGAACTATGAATCTTTTCAATTATACTCGAATGAATACGTTATACCCAAATAAATTATCATCAAATTAAAGGATAGTCTTAATCGAATAAAATTGAAAGTTTATTTTATATTAATTCGTTTTGAAATAAACATTTATTTATTATATTTATCTATTATACCAAAAACAAACATTTTTATCTTCCTGGAAAATAATTATTGCGGCAAAAATAGAATCAGCAACGCACTGGCAAATGGTGTATACTTAAAAATACAATAAATAGAAAACTTACACATAAAAAACAAATAAATCTGGGTATACTTGCGCTGGTCGAGGTAATTTCTTTATATAACAGCATGTAAATGAATCCGACATTGGAATGCTAATAGAATTCTATACTTGAGATCAAACGTTGTTCCTCAACCCAGAACGCGATGGGAATAGGAATGGTTCTGTTTTTCTAAAATTTCTGGGCCGCTTGAAGAGGTTGAATGCAATAATGAGCTTCACTATATTGCGTAGCAGACACCTGAAACTCCCTATATTTGGATATTTTTTGTGATTACGACGAATAAACGTCTAATTATATCCTGAGTGAAAGTAATCAAATATTGTAAAGGAGAGATTAAATTAAAGAATCTTACCTTCGGCATTATTATTGGTTCTTAGCTTAAGATATAGAATCTTTCGTACAATTTGTTGGGGCAGCTAATAGAATTGATGGTAGTAGTCGTTGACATGTCGATTAGTTTTCTTCATTAATTTTGTAGATAGTGAACGGTTTGATAGTTTCAATCATAAGATTTTATCTGTAATGATAAGAATAACTAATTAGTCACCAAACCTGAAGCTAGAAGAGTGGTACAAAGAAAGGTATATATGTGATGTTTGACAGAATGAATTAATCTACTGTCAAAGTCACTTATGATTGACTTTGCTTTTTTATATACCCAGGAAAATGATTCCGATAGTAGGATCCTATCGGGATCCGGGTGTGGGACCTACAATCAGAACCCTAGTGTTGGAACCCGATAAGTTCCAGTGTCGAAATTTAACGGAATCCAACATAAGCATTCGGCCCATGTGTTCTGTTGCCACCATATGCTTATTCATTGGTGATTAAGAAAATGTTTTTTTTCCGTCGGATCTGTTAGTAGATCCGTGACCAGGAATCTGATTGAATTTTGTCGACTTGTCGGATCCCATGAGATCCGATAAGATTCACTGTCGGATTCAGTCATCTGGTAATACATATGTCTTTAGCTTATTGACTGCAGCATTTCAATACACGATTCAACAAAACACTGAATCAACCATGCAAGAGATAACATTATTGATTAATGATTGAAGAAATGAAGAAATTGTGGATACACCGTCGATAATGATGATGATGGGCTTCGTTTTATGTATCATTCGTTCTCGTTTTTTTTTTGAGAATATAAAGATCTTGCCTGTTATAACTACTCCCGCTACAAGAGATGGACACGTCTCTAGAGATACAGTTAAAATTACTGTGATCAAAATTTTCTAAAAAGGTTAACTACTTGCTAGCGTTTCTACCATCGATTTATAAGGCGACAAGTGTCACGTCCCATTGATTTTTTGTATTTTTGAATGTCAGTAAGTTAGTGGTAAAACACTCACACCATTTTTATCGAGCTATTTCTTCTATCAATGTCATTAATAAATATTTTCTTTATCTAATTTTGCTCCGTATATGTATCATCGCGTAAAATGAGTTCAAAACTTATTTCAACTTGATTTAGCCAGACGTTAATCATCTACCGATATTCCCAGATGATATTGAAAACAGCCTATAATGCAACTTCAACTAAAATACATCACTTTTCTTTAATGCTTCATTCATATGGTTCATATATTTTCGTAACACATGTAAATAATTTTTAGCTTGTTTTGGCGTGCTTCTTTTCTATTTTTAAATCTATTGGAAGTAGAACGACTGCTAACACTGTATAGTATCCTCGAATGTTGTATATTTATCATAGCACTGAAAAACATAGTGCACTATATATTTAAACATATATTCCTAATATAGATAACTGTTCATGAATGAAAGATAGTTGATCGGAAATACATACCACTAACAATTGATAATGATGGTCATGTTTCGCTTCGATATGTTTAATCTAAACAATAAAGTCATATAGTAGATGAGTTTAACAAGATTATTATCATTTTTTGTAAATAAGACTAATAAATTTAACGTAAATTGATAATCGTGACACTAGAAAAAAATGAAAGAAGCATCAAATTGCGATTATGTTCGCTTTGTTTGGTACTATTGGAATTACAATGTTCTGGAATTAATTACACATTCACTAATTTTTCTATGGATCCCTCAGTTGTGAAATATTTCGAACGCTGCTGGTTATACAAATGCGAATATTTGCCTTTTTCTGTTTATCTTCATTAATATTAGATTGAACATTTTTTGGACTTCGTTCTTTTCTCGTTTAAGGCTATTGTTAAAGTTTCACGGGTATAGCTATAGTTATCTGTAAATGATCGCGTAACTAGAAACAGTATAATATAATGTCAACAATGCAATCATTAATTGCCAAGCGTTTTATGGTGCATTACACACTGAATCTAAACTACATTATCATATGTTATCTGTTTCCAACTATTCTAGGCATTGTTTTTAGATTTTAATACTTAAGCTACTATATATTAAAAAGATTATATATTTGCAGTACCCAGCATGTTGTGGTCGTAATCATGATACTCATTATTAGTTATTGATTTTTGGTTTTCAATTCTTCATTTATATTAATTGTTTCACCATACATGTCGTGTATATATGTTCAACCACGTTCTTATGGACATAATTTACAAGAAATTGATTTATCGATGTTACATTTTGTCCGTATAGCGTCATCTCCAAGAAAGATTCGAAAATTAGTGTCGTTTCTTGTTGACTACCTTAAATCGGTAAGTTGGAGATCCTAGGATATTTTTCGGGTTCTTTATCAAATGGCTTCCATAAAGTTTAATGAGAGTATATTATCATTCTTATTGTTATTAAGAATAATGTACTAAATTTAAGTGAATCTTTGATGTAGTAAATCGCTTTCTTTTAATTCACAGGATCGTTGCCTGAATAATGGAATATACGAGTCGAATTTTTATAATTACGTGTTATTTGCTCTTGTGTTTTGATTCTAATTCTGTATCCGTTATGTCTTTTTTAAGTGCATCTGACTTTTATGCATGATTTGTCTGTGTAATACATGCTGTTTGTTGATGAAAACAAACTCCGAAGAAATATTTCATTCGACTAATTACATGATTGAAATGCGTTTGTGTGCAATCATTCATGTCTTCAACTTTTCAAGTAGTTCGTCGCCAATTTCACTGTTATCTAGTAATAGTTTATATTAGTAATCAGCCGTATTAGATAAGTTTAGTTCAGTTCTGAATTAGAAAGATATAGTCATACATAAAGAAAATAGATATAGTGAATACTGACGAATTATTCCTTTCTGTAACGAAATAAAATGTGTCTATCTATACCATGTTCGTATTCCTATCATAGTAAAGTGTTTAACTTGAACCACGTGTATCGTTCTTTGTGTCATAAATTCTGTGCATACGCGTTCAAGTGTTTCGATAATTTTATACAATAACCCAGGACGAGCTTTACGACGTCCGTATACGGTGAAATACGGGCCGTATACGATGGTAAATCGCCGTATTTGGCCGTATTACATGGCTCCGTATTACGATCGTAAATCTCCGTGTCGTAATACGGTGAAATACGATCAAAAACGACCGTAAAGCGCCGTATTTCGCCGTATACGGCACGGAGATTTACGATCGTAATACGGAGCCATGTAATACGGCCAAATACGGCGATTTACCGTCGTATACGACCGTGTATGTTCGACCTGGGAACTGATTATAGGGTTGTGAATCAAGACCTTATGTGAGCGTGGAAGCGTCCGTACCAGAGCTCCGCGTGGGATGGGACTCTTTTGAAAAGTGCACCATGGGATAGGATGGGACTGAAATGTTTTTTTTGACATCCCATCCCATGGGACTAAAAATTTCGTCTCGTCCCAAGAGACAGAATGGCTTGATAAATGCACTAAACTTTTGCGATATACAATTACTGTGACATAGATGTTGCACTCATCTGAGCAATCAAAACAAGTCAACAATATATTCTACTCGTTCGGTCTATAGAAAATATGAAGTTGATGCAATGATGTACAATAATATTTATTTTGTTCGAATCGTTTTTTTTTATTTAAAACACTACCTTCATTTTTTTGCGTCGCTTTATTTTTCTCTCTATTGTCATATTTTGCACTATTTTGTATGTATTCATTGAGCGATATATTTTTGATGGTGAAAGTAAAAAAAAAAGAATTTTGAACTTGATAATAATACAATTATAAACATGTGAAAAGAGAATATGACATCATAATTTTAGTAGCTAGATGAGCATTCGGATAAACTTAACGTCTTATACGATATATGATAATTGAGATGTCCCATGCAGGGTGGCCAGATCTTCTGAAAAGTAAGGAAAAATTATGAAATTCGAAGTCCATTCTGAATTCCTTCAGATCTTCTGATTGTCGTACTATATTCTGATCATTCCTGATTTTAATACTTTCTTTTGACTTCTTTTCGAATTCGAAAATATTTCACGTCCCAGTTTTTCAGGTGTACTTCAGTATAATTATAACGCATTAGTATTATAGATGTTTATTGCGCCAAATTTTTTTTTTCTCAATTATCCGATGATAATTTCTGACTTATATAGGAAACTTCAGTTCTCAACGCTGCAGTAAAATTTGATAAATTTCTTTTCTTGATTTCGAGATTCTCGCTTATGAAACATTCTACAAATAAAAACTACATTATCCAATAGATGATATTAATATAGTTGAATTTGATTTTGAAGAGACATAAAGCAAAGTGCATTAATTACCAAAAGCAACATCATCTCGAAAAATAAAGGAAAAAGAGTTTTTCTTAAAGATTGGTTATTCATTGATAAATATTCATCTTTATAGTGATGCAACTTGGAAAATGAAGTACTTATAATGCCATCATCTTAATACAGAAGTCGCTATATCACAAAAAATGATCTTTCTGATAAACTTCTGACATTCCGAAAAACATTTCTGGTCGTTTTCTGATTTTTATAAGAAAAATTCTGATTTTTGAATTTTCGATCTGGCCATTCTGCTCCTATAGGACGATTTTTTTTGTCCCATCCCGTCCCACGCGGAGCCCTGGTCCGTACACTCTGTTGTCGAATTGTAAAACATATCTTATAACATTTTTTAAGCAAGAAGAAAATGGTTGATTGCTATCAAGATAATTAATCGTAATAGTTTATAATCACCATAATTACATAATACGTTTCGTTTTCAAATCAACCGATCTTCTTAAACGATACCCGTGTAATAGTCTTTTTCTATGGGATATTTCTCTGAATACGATTCGGCTTCTCAAAATAAACTTCGAGTAATATACTATGTAAAAGAAAATACTTAGCTTATAGAGGCATTGTTACAGTCATATGTTTATTCCTTGACTCATCGGCATGTGTATACTCTTTCCCTGACACATATTCCCTCTATATATACTCCTCTTTCTTCAATGATAAAGTTAGTTCCATCGTTATGGTACTCATTCGTTATTAACATCAAAAAGGCACAGGGATCCCTAACACGCATTTACAAGCATATAAAAATTTTGTAAATCTCTAACTGGCTTATCAGAAATAATTTGAGCTCAGTATCTAATAGTGAAAAAGTCGAAAACAATCAATCGTCACTCAATAATCTAATCAATCAGTTTTTTCTTTCATTAGCTTCTTTTCCTGGTAAAAAAGAATGATTACCATTTTTTTGAATGATCAAAAAGTACGAGAATTAGTATATTATAAATAGTTTGAATTCATCCTAGGATCGTAAAAGAATCTAAAGTGATCATTGGCAATCAGTTTTCTCTCTTTTCTCTGTAGTCTTCTGTGTACATCCATTTGTAGCACAATACGTTCGTGCTATTACTAGAATTGTGAACCGATGCTTTGATCAATGGTAGCTGAAAAATTTCATTTTCTTTTCGTGCCTTCATGTTAGGTTGAGGAGGCTCTCTAGTAAGAATGTAGATTTGAAGAACAACCCAGGACAATCATTCCGATCGCCGGAACGGTCATCTTAACAGGCCTGATACGGCTATAAAATGGTATAATAAGGCGTTAATTTTCACCTTATTTCGCTGTAATCCGTCAGCTCGTTTTACGGACCATTTTTTCCCGCTAGAAAACGGCCATCGTTTTTAACAGTGTATTCGTCGTTTTCAGAGCTGACGGAAAACGGCGCAGTTTTTCAACGTTTTATACCGTTTTTACGTCTTTTACGGCCATTTACGCACCGTTTTCTTGGACCTGGGAAGGACAGTTTTAAAAAGCGACGAAGTGAACATTAGCTAATTAATGAGGGGTAACCATTGTCACAAAAATCATAGAACTTATTCTGACAGCGACATATAACCATCTATACTTGATATCTACTTCATGAGTCTGCTCGAGTCTCCGACGAAATTCGACAAACACAACTGAAAAAAGTTCTTTTTATTATAGACTAATGCGAGTGCAAATAAATACACAAATTGCATTCAGTATCACACTCATTTATTGTGCACAAAAACTTCGCAAATAAAAACATCATCAATTCAATTTATTTTCAAATCATAGAAAAAACAATGTAGAGTAAACTAGATCTGACACGATATTTCATTAAAAACCTTCTTTGATAGATGATGGATATTCAAAACAATCGTCTAGTTTCTTTTTATCACCATCTAACAAACAAAATCGATTTCGTTCATAATTAATAAAATGTATTCGATGCCATTTAGCAAAATTAATAAATAGATTATTATTCGATGGTGTAGTTTTCGTCACATTTGCTGTTAGAAATTGTAATACATTCGCTGTGTCGTTGTGATTATTTTTCGTTTGATCTTGATGTTCGAGATGATATCGAGCAGAAAAGTCACTTAAATTAACTTTTCTATCATAATCATGATAGAAAACATCATGTGGTATATCGATTAAAGGTTGACAATTATTTGCCTAAAATTCATATCTTATCAAAGTCATAATATCGATTATATCTTACTTGTCGTTTAAGAGTCCAGTACGTATGAATACTTTCAAGAACATCCGGAAGAATTAATGTTTCTTTTTGAATTCTATCTAACTTAGTATACGATGCAAATTGATCAAATCTAAATTATTCTTTCAAAACTAATATTTATACAAAACAAAATAATAACATACTTTTTTTGTTCATTTTCTAGAAATTTATACTTCTGTGCTCGTTTTTCTGGCAAATCAAATTTTGTACTATGTCGATGGCAAAGCGCCTAATAAATAAGATTAAACAAGAATATAGCGTATTCATAAAGAAATCTTTCATACAAGTAATCGGACTAAAAGTTTACTATCACTTTCAGCTACAAGCATATCTTGACCAGCTTCAATGGCACACAAAGGATGAAATCGATTTTGACAATTCTTCCAGCAGCAATTAATTTTTACACCAGCTGTTTTATTGCATATCAAACAACGTCCATCATATTTCTATTTTAATAAGCAAGACTCGAATATATGAAAATCAAAGAATGAAAGTATTTCCTACAAGAGTATCTTTTAAAAATGGTGCCATTTTTTCATCAAATTCAATGCTAGATATCCAAAATGCACATGAAAGATGAACCCATCCTTGCTCCTGTTGGTTACTTTAAAAACAAAATGAAATTTCTTCTAAAAGTAATAGAAAAAGTAAATTTACTACCGTGTCTTCAACATTTTTAATGCTCCACCACTATTATCACAAATACAACATGCGTGTGGATCATTTCCGGATTGACATGAAAAGCATAACCATTCATTTTCATCATCATTAATTCCAAAACATTTCTAAAAATAGAACTAGCTTTAAAGTGTTGATAAATCGTTCTTTAACCTTATGAACAATAGTTTTACACTGAATACATTGAATAAGATCATAAACATCATCAACCTGAAAGAAAAGATAAAATTTGAAAAGTCAATCTTGTACAAAACAAACAGAAAAACAAAATTACACGATGGCATGCATCACATTGAATTGTCTCTTCATAGTTTTTCTGTCGAATAGCCAACAAACATTGACGTTCGAGTAATTGCATAATATATTCAAAAATATTTTCATCAAGCTCAGATAAATCTATTCAAAATTATTATGCTATAAGAATGGTATATATTTTTATTGACTCTATATAATTTGATGAATACTGAAGAAAATGTTCGATCTCTTATTGAAAAATTACTTTACAAAATTCCTCACCTTTAATTAATGTCTAAATGAAAATTGAAAAATGTTTCCTGATAAATTCTTACGTTTTTCAATACGAAATTGATTGTATCCCATCAGCCATTGAAAATCTTGTTCATCAAGATCATATTCTTCGTATTGACTACCATCATTATCAATCATAAAACTATAGAAAGTAACTCAAAATGAAATGAAAAATGAGCTCGCAACTATCATTCAGATTACTTTGCTGAACGATTTCTCATTGTATTACTAGTTGATGGTATGAACTGATATTTAATATCAGGCATATTAGTATCTTTGATACTCTGAAGATCATCATAAAAACTCCAATCACGATTTCGAATACCAGATATAACAATTGATGAACTGTGATCTTCATTTGTTGATACTTTTGATGATTGAACAACCTACAATAATAATCATCTCAATATTAAAAGTCGTATGGATTTGGAAATTTTTTATGAATCGAAATATTCCTTCTGTCAATCAATCTTTCATTGAATTAACCTCATTAACTTTCTGTTCATGATTATTGTCGTTGTGATTATCATTGTTTTCATCATCAGTATCATCATTATTATCTACTTTTATTTTACGACCAAAGCGAATAGTAAAAAATCGTGGTAATGGTTCAATAATATTAGAAATCATTTGTAAATTGCTTGAGGATATTTTTCTAAAATAAGAAAAAAAAGAAATTTGAAGCATTGAAAGAATAAAGATTTCTGTTCTTCAATTGTTAACTTTCGTCGTTTTTTTTGCATGTAAATAATCAATTGTTTCATCTCGCAAACAAAGTGCTTTCACACTTTAATTCTTTATTTTATAAAAAGAATTTCGATAATGTCAACGAATAATAGAGAAGCTTATCGATTATCTTCTAAACAACGAAAACATAATACTACAGTAATACCCGAAATCTTCGAAGCACCAAAAATTTTACGAAAGAGAAAACGACGAACGAATTCATCAAAATTAAGTAACGATGACGTCATATATCAACGTTTTGTTGGTGATCTTGAAAAAGAGATGTAAGTATAAATCTATTGATTTGATGTTTTTATTTTGTTTTATTGATAAAAATTTTTTAGTCAAGCCTATGTAAAACAATCGTTGCGTGAAAGTCGTTTTGATACTCGAGCAAATCATTGTTTAGAAACAAACGCATCAATGACAGTAGATATTTCTAAATAAAATTTATTAATCAATACTTGTCTTTGAATTTATAGACTTTGTTAGCTGCATTGAAATCAAGACATGCACCTACAACTATTGGTACCTATCGCTCAAATGAAACAGAGACTGTAATCAGGTGCATGCAGAACTAAAGTTTTTATTTTTAATCATTATCTATGTTTTTACTTTCAAGTTGTTTGAGTAATAGAGATGAAACAAACTCGATGATAAAACAAAATGAAAGAAAACGTCTTGAAGCTGATGTTCAAAAAATTCTAGTACGTTGAGAACTTTGAAAAGCCTCGCTTGTAGAAAAAAAAGTTTACTCAATATCTTTACTTCATTAGAGTGGACCGGCCATGAGAAATTTCTACACACATTTTATTCGACCTCGGCGACACGACGAACTATCAAATCCGTTCGAACAATTACTTTTATATGTATCTGAACAATAATATAAACAAATAAACGAATTCTAATAAAATGTTTATTGTTTGTTTCCAATAGTTTTTCTTTTTTATTGTTGGATTTCTTCTCATCGTTTACACACACAGACACAGACACACGCATATAAGTTCTCTTTACCAGACAGATATGAGAAAAAGACGACAGAAAAAAAACAAAGAAGCGACAAAAAAAAACAAAATGGTCTAGTAAGAGATGAACAAGAAATAACAGCAGTCTTTGATTCTTTTTTCTTCCTCTAAGTATGTACACGAGGCACAAAAAAAACACAAACAAAACCCGAGAAGGAGCACAGACAGATTCAATGATCAAAACAAAAAAGTCAAATAAAAGACTTCAGTGTTTTCTCATCAAGCCAGCAAGCGAATAAATAATAGGCAGAAGAAACAAAAAAAAGCTTTTAACTAATCATATCAGTTGGAGAACAACACGAAAAAGTTGTACAAGTATATATATATATAGATTTATATATATACGACATAAATGCTAATCTATTATTCGATATTGCCATGCTCATAGACATACAACAACAAAAATTCGAGAAATGCTTGCATTGAGACAATATCTGACACACAAAGACAAAAGATTTTCTACTATGTCGAAAAAAAGACACATGTACATGCTCATATGAATGGATCTTACAAAAGAAAAAAAAAGAATCTGACAACTGGAAAAAGAAACAAAAACACAACACAAAGATGACGCTTTGAGCAACAAACGCGGACACACAAAAAAAACCGGTAACTAAGTTCGCACATAAACATCTTGCTTTTCAAATTTTTTTATGCACCTGAGTTAAGAGAAGGAAAAACAAACACATGCAAAAACAATAAACGGAAGAGGAGTTAGCCCTGAGAAATAAACGTACACAAACAAAAATTAAGTACTTGACAGAGTAACATATATCTCATCATTGAGATAAACATGAGATTATTAGATATGTATATATATATAATTATATAGAGTGAGAGAAAGAGAGAAGTATCAAAGCTTATCCCAAGCAACAGGTGATGGCGGAAGTTCATGAGCTTGTGCCACTTGTGATCTAAACATATTCGATAATAACCTTTCTTTGAGACAAATTGATTAATAACTTACGTGGCAAATGTTTTATATAATGGCGAGTCATGATTAAGCCTAAGAGGTACAGTATTAGCTTGACTGAACTCCGTCAACAATTTGTGCATGTATTCTAAATGAAAATCAATGTATTATGATAAATTCAGTATTTCTTTAATCATACCTTTTGCTTGTCTCATACTACAAAAATTTTCATCCGAATCATCATATCGAAACCCTCTTACAGGTTCAAGATTAACTGTATATTGTCTTCCAGTTGGTGTTGAAAAACAACAACGACACATACACGAATGATAACGAATACGTCCTTCATGAATATAATTATTTTCTATAAGAAAAATAGATAATATTTCTGTTTCATTTTGAGAAGAAGAAAAAGATCTATACCTAATGTTTGTTGTATTGTGATTCTTTTTCTTGGATCCCATGTTAACATGCGTAATAAAAGTTGTGCAGCATCATGAGTTACATTTTTTGATAAAGAATAAAGCATATTAATTTTAGCAGCACGCCAAGTTTTCGATACAATATAAGATTTGGCACCATCACATGCTGTAGCGATTTCATCTAATGGAGGACTGCCCAGTAGATTAATAATTAAGTCAAGCTAAAACGATACGATAAATTTCATTTACTTATATTTAAATAAATATTCAATCTACTTGTTTAAGTGGTGACGATGCTTGAAATAAGATTCTTCGTCCAAGTAATTCAGCAAATATACAACCAACACTCCAGACATCAATGGCATAGGAATAATGATGAGCACCCAGCAATAGTTCGGGAGCACGATAATATTGTGTTACAACTTCTTGAGTCATGCATTTAGTTTTATCAAGTTCTTCGGTGCGGGCTAAACCAAAGTCACAAATCTAAAGAAATAAAATAATCATTTTAAAAAAGGCTGCTCTTAATTTTACAATTTACCTTTAACAAACAATCGCTATTGACTAAAAGATTTCCAGGTTTTAAATCTCGATGAATAACTCCAGCAGAATGAAGAAATTTAAGTCCTAAAAAGAAAAGAATATTCATATGAAACTGTTACAATTCTTTATTCATTACCTCGGAGTATTTGATAAAGAAAAACTTTACAATGATCAATTGACAGAGGTTGCTGTGAAACAATAATTTTGTGTAGATCAATTTGCATTAGTTCAGTTAAAATATACCTAAACAGAAATAAAAAAACTCACATTATCCTGTAAATCCTTCAAGTATTGTACACTTACACTTCATTGAATAAATCTATTTGACTAGGTGGTTGAAGAATATCAACAGCTTGTAGAATCTTTAATAGAGAAAAAAATACAATACTTTCTTTTATTCGAAAAGCAATATTAGATTCTTAATAGAATTACATTATCATGTCGAAATGTGCATAACATTTTTATTTCACGGAAGGCTCGTCGAGCGGCGACAACTGATTGAAAAACATTTGGCATCTTTTTTAATGCAACACGTCTACTGGTTCGTGGATCAGTAACCGCCCTATAATAGTTATTAATAAAATCTTTTATTTTCTATTTCATTCAATAAGCATACCATATGACACCAAATGCACCATAACCAATAAGAAAATCTAAAATGACTCAATTTATTATTAAATTATTAAACCTACTGAAATAAATGATTTACCGCCAGGTTCATTTTCGTTTGTCGTTGAAGCAAGTGTCGCGGAAGAATTCGATGAAGATGTACTTGAAGATGAATATGATGGTATCCCTGAGTTACTTGTATAATATGGATGATGTAGAGCTTGTTGTTGCTGTTGTTGTGGTTGTTTACTTGTTGTTCCGCCATTAGTTTTGGCTGTGCTACGCGACATTGCAATCTAAATAGAAATAACGATTGTTAACTGTTTAAGGACTACTTTTCTCTCTTGAACAAACCATGTTTAAGATCTTTATGTTGTTTATTTTAATCAATTAAAATGCTGGCGATATATAGATGACCAAGATTGATTTAACTCCGCACGACATATCTGCCACTGTCGCTGTTGTAGTTATTCTATGAGCGCCGAAGAAGAAAGCAAATAGAAAAAATGTTAGAGAAAGAAAGAAAGAAAGAAAAAAGAATCGAAAGAGAAAAAGAACTTAACGATGAAAACTGCCAGTCAAGCAATCGACATCAATACAGCAAAGAGAAAAAAAGAATCATATGGACTAATAGGACGGACGGACGGACAGAGTACGTGAACGACCGCTCGTTCGTTCGTTCGCTCGGACGCAAGAACAATAGAAAAAGAAGAACTAACGTTTACATACTTGAAGCTATGTTGAACCAATAGTTTAATAGGCTCATCATAGGATATTGAAAGTATAATTATTTTATTTATATTTCTAAGCAGTTTTATAAATAATTTATTTGCTATATAACAGTATTATGATAGATAATAGTAAATAATGCATATCGTTTTTTTGCATATCACAACTAGCGACACTTTTGTTTTGTACAAAATAAAGTGTACCATATTACATTTTTGAGCGTACTCGAACGAAAAAGAATCTGTAGTGAGTTACAATCGAATTGTGTGTTCCATGTTTAGTCTGTCCTTTCTGTAGCTATTTCAAGTGAAAAAGGGAAAACAAGACGAAAGTAACTCTCACTCATGAAGTGCCACTATTGTTTAAGATATGAAGTTGATATACTAAGTGCATGTATGTGACAATAGATATTGGTCGAAAGGACCAGTTTGTTCTCTGCCATTCCAGAAAATATCCTCACAAAAAGCTTTCTTTGACAATTAACTATTGTGTGAGTGTTGCTGTTTTTTCCAAATACTAAAGACTACTCGTTTTGTATATCTATATCTATTTTATTCTAACTAGAACTCGTGACATATATAGTCAATATCTTAGTAATGAATACACTCCGAACTATCATGGGAGCTTGTCAATAAAATATTGCAAAGAATTTTTCACAGCCAACAAAACGTTTCGTGGGCTTTCTCAAATCATATCGAATTGATATCGTATTTTGATGAACTGAAGATATTGTGTAGTATTTTTTTTCAAGTCTATGATCATGCGCATAAGTAAAAGAAATTGTTATTGCTTTTTTTATAAAAGGCTGAAATTTGTTGTAAAATATGTATGAAACCTTTACTCGATTACAATTCTAGTATAAAACATTCAAGTGATGAATACAGTTTGTCTAGTCATTATCGTTAATAAAAGCTGTTATCTTCTATATATATATATACTGTAGGGAAGCTGAAAGGATAATGTTTTCTATTGTAAATCGTAGTTGAGATACTTCCTATCAGGAAAATATTTAAAATTAAACAGTAAATTGAGAACAGTCTTTTATGCTATTCTTGAAAAAATGGCAACAAACATATAATTATTATATGCTGAGAGACGTCGCTAGCAATCCTTTATCATCAATAGTTAACACACAAAGAAACCTGGGACTTTGTAAGATATCACGAGACTTCATAAACGTCGGGAACGTTAAAAATACTCATAAGTACAATTAAATCATTTTTAGTTATTGTCAAGTAAACACAATGGTTTGCTCATATGTGTGTATAGAGAAAAAAACTGGTATTATTCACAATCAACTTTCGATATTAATTATATATTTACGTTGAAAATTAATCACTTTACTTTTAAATTTTGACTTGAGAAAATAAGCACGTAGAAAAAACATAGCTTATTTATTTTTTGATTGTAAAAATGAATATTGTCTGTTTTTATAGAAATGATGTATTCGGTTTGTAACGAAATGTGCCTGTTAACTACGTCTATAGAGTACCAATGCAATCTCGATACGGTGATCTTGGAATCACTCTTGCGTAGGGATGAAATGCTACGATGAATCGATGAACTAAGTTGAGTATCATCATCTCATTGAGTACATGCTTTTTGAAAATTTCAGACATGATCGAACTAGAACATGTTTCAATATTTTGACTTTCAGTTTTAACAAATAGTTGAAGCGTCTTTTTCGATTGTTTTTGGTGGTGGAAGATTTTCATTTTGATAGTTAATGCCGAATCAGATCGAATAGTAAGTAACTGGATGATGAGAAGCTAATTAAAAGTTTACTCCTCATGCCAATTTTTCTCTAATTAAATCTATAAAGAGAAGTAATCATAAAAGAAAAAGCCATATTTAAATTTGTGTTGTGATGAGTTACAACTACATCTACGTAGATTGCCTTTGGATTTATATTCGACATAGTATATTATAGAAAGCGTTTTACATCTCGTACTGAATGTAGATGAGCTTAGGTGCATGACCAACTGACTGTGAATTTTGTTCTGTTTAAGTGTATCACAAAAACAAAATAAATCAAGAGAAAACTCGTACATGTAATCATTTCTCTTTCGTTGTCTGCGAAAGAAATTCAATGTATGGTACCGTTGGGTTATGAAAAAACTCAACTTGCAATTCAATCATTCACACTCTCGCGAACTTTTCACATCAACGAGTGAAAAACTGGAAAGATACTCATAATTCAACAAGAAAACGTAGAGAAAAACAACTGAAACAATGAGTATGGTCTTATGAATATCAACAAAAGTAGTTTTTCTCTCATGCTTATGAAATTCATCATTTTATACTGCTTCACATAGCCTTCATTAGCACAAAAATCATAAAATCATCTTGTTTATGTAATAGAGGTAATTTAGCACGGCTATTTGAGATAATTATTTTAATTCTTCTGAGTCACGTAAAATACAACACAGATTAGAGCAGAACGCTACCCGTCAACGTCCAACCATGGGCTCCATGGCGCGCCATTGAGCGAGGTTATGTTATAATAACAAGCAACAGATGTTTTTTATTACTCAAATAAAGAATATCGGTTTTCAGCTTATAGCTTAAAAAGTTTGCGATAACTAAATGTAAATTGTCGATCTGCAACCGATGGAGACGCATAAGCAAATAGTCAAGTAAGGCAAAAGTTAATAATCAATAATGATTTGCATTAATACGTTGAATTACCTCTACATCCTCGTCTACATTGATAATTCGTATTAGAGAGGAAACATACTTCAACAAAGAAAACTAAGTGTGATATAAATAGATCGCGGAAAACAATTATAATGCATTCGAATATTAGAGTAATCTAAGTTGGCTTCTATTGGTTATATGTAATTGTATAGAGACCAGAGTTTCACATGAGACTAAAGAAAATAGAGTGCTCAAACACGTCCTTCGGAAGTATTGATGTATAGCAAATATTCCATTGTAGATTCGAAGGCTAATCTAAATTGATGTTGTTCGATGAGAGAAATATTTTTCTTCTACTAGTGTTATCATCCTCATCACTCACTTATATACGCAACGCTTAATAATCTAATACAATTGAAGAAAAACAACTTTTGCTTGTCAGAAAACATTGGTAAGAAGATACTTTTGTATTCCGAATGCAACTCCATCTGATATCCATACCGATACTAACAGCAGCAATGGCATATATCTGAAACTCTGTTAATTTGAGAAGCTTTTAGTTTATAAATTTTTCACAGTGAATAATTATAAACTTCTGTTTAAGATTAATTGCTAGTGTATGCCATCATCTGTTAATATTTCTAAGACTGACAGATATAATATTTCCCGCAAACATGGCTACTATCTCCCTCAGTACGAATATGTCAAAATCTTGATCATCAACAATCCTTTTTTAAGAAGATTTTTTTCTTGCTGAAGCAGTACATTTAGAAATAGCAACCATTAGAGAACAAGAGTACTCGCTTCGTCAGTCATTATATCAAGTTGAGAAAAAGAAAAGCATTTTTCAGCACAAACAAAGCTATTCACATTCGAGTGGTTACTACCGCAGTGAGATATGTTTTTAATGGCTTCATTTTTCACAAGTTAACTTGTGTAAGTTAAGATGCTTGTTTTTATGCTGCTAAGCAATTCAAAACTAGGCGTAAATTGTTTATTTTACTAGCAGTATTAAGTAGAGCTGTTTTGTTTTTCTTTGTACGAAGTTTTATTGGATAACATGTCTTATTTTTTTTCACCAAAACATACTGAGGAAAATAATTTCTGGTATATATATGTTAGCTGATAGGTGATGATCATGCAGTGGTCTCCAAGATTCCGCAAAAATAGAAGAAAACAAAACTATTACCAATATATTAGTATAAGTTTTATGATGATGTGTGAGAGTACAGACATGAAACCATCCACGCACTTTGTTAATTGTACTGTGTGGCAGGCGGAACAAACACACGAAACTGTGCGTGATGATTCATCAAAAATAATTGAAACAGAAGTCAATTATAGTGCAAATTGTGATATAAGAATAATCACGAACGCTGGCATGACATAAACATGAAGTATGGTAGAAGTAGTGTTTTGACATGATTGTCAGATTTTGAACGATATCTTCTTGTTGCTTGTTCGACTTTTTATAAACAGATAGAAAGCTTAGCGACAGCAAATTCGTCAAACTTTCTGTACTGAAGTATATAAGTTGTTACATGCACTGAAATTTTGTTTTAATAGAAGATATCAATTTTCCACTTTTTGTCAGATATGAATTTGGATGAGTAGTATAGCAGAAATAAATTACGAATTTTCTGATCGCTTTAAGTTATTCATCAAACAGAAAAATCTTGTTGACTTTATTTTCACCGATTTCATATTGTTAAATAGAAACAAAAAAAAACAGAACCTAGGATAACAATCTATACATAATTTACAGACGCGAAACAAAAAAAAAGAAACATGCACGTGTAAGAAAACAGCCAAACAATAGTAAATCTGATTTTATCTATCGATTGAAATATCTGACTAGAATTTTTTATCGTGTTGATAGAGTCGTTTATTTTGTTGAGCTTGACGAAGACGTAGAAATGAAGAACGAGTGTGATTGACTGTTCTCTCCTAGAAAGTAATATTATTCTGTAAAACATAATTGAAAACCGATTATTATATAATTTGGATTAGAATCTTGTATCACCCTCCCTACGCAGATACGTTTTTCATGTAGGATCATAGAAATGCCAATCCTACGCATTGCAGATAATGTGGATACACGTCGAAAAATCGTATACCAATAGCTTCAACTAATTATGACCTTTCCGGAGGATTAAGCAAGAGATAAATGAAGAAATATCTTTCTGAGATAAGTAGAATAATAGCTGTATTATGTCTGAAATATCTATCCTGCAGGTATGACGTTAATCGCTCATTTTTTTAAAGAAAAAAACCTTACTTTATGTTTGGTTGTTTGTCGTTTTGATTCATCTATAGTCATTGTAGAAGGTCTAGCTGGTGAACTTTGACTGCGTTGCGGTTTTTCAGTTTTACTTAATGATTTATTCGTTATACATGTACAAGATTTAGTCGATACAGATATTGAACTTGATGATGATGATGATATACTTCGTGTTGCTGTAGTCATCGGTGTGTTTGATGGACAATGTACACATGAAGTTGAATGAAGAAAATCGGTGGGAAGAGATCTAAATTAAAAGAAAATGAATTATAGAAATCATTTTGTTCGAATATTTTTTTAACCTTCTAACGAGCGTTTCTTCAATAAGACGTTGTATTAATTGTCGACCCTTTTCTGGATCATATTCATCATCATCTTCAGTTTGATTACTAGCGCTACTATCAAGACTAAGACTACTAGGACTACTACTGAATGAAGTATTTGCATTGTCTGATTTTTTTGATGAATAATTTATTAATTGTTGTTGTATTACATTAGTTTTATTAGTCCAATGTGGTTTTTTAATAAGATCATAAAGAATTTTAATACTACTATTTTCATCATTTGAATTAATATCTTCAATAAATGAAGATTCTTCTGTAATCACGCTTAGATTTTCATTTAAAGGAACATTAAATGAGGATTCACTTTCTACATTATTATCACCATCCAGAGGATAATTTTCAATCACTTGACTATTATATGTTTGACAACTATCATCGTCAAGTAAATTTTCTTCGTCATAAAAAGGTATAGTAATAGGATTTTGATTTTTATCATGTCCATCACATAAAAAAACAATAACTTCATCAAGATGTTCACTATCATCATTGTCATCAATAATATTATCATTTCGATTTGAAATTAATTCTTGTTGATTAAATATAAATGTTTTTTCGATGACTGTTTCACTCATCATTGTTGTTCGATTATGACTCGATGTTGTATTCATTGTTAATGTACGATTATTTGGTTTCGTTTGTGGATGATCTTCTTCAAGAATTTCAGGTTCACATGGTGGTGAATCTGGCATATCACTTGGCGATATTAATCCAGAAGGTTTCACTGAACTACATTCTGATGTATAGGATTCATTACATGATGATCGTATATCATAACTTGAGAGTGAACCAACTGAAGTACAACGAGAATACATCAAGGGCGAATTAACAGCCGATTGACGCTGCGTAATTAAATATTGAAGGCGTGATGAACGACTTGCTGTACTTGAACTACTTTTAGAATTTGATGCTGATGATGACGATTGAAATGAATCATCATGTGCGCGTATAACTATATCAGTCGTTGATTCATGTACTGGAGATGAATGTGCAACTAGAAAACGATTTGATAATGGTGAAATATGTTCATGATTAGAGCTAAGATCGGATAAGTCTCGTTGTATTTCGATATTTTCAGTAGTCATGTCTAGAATTAAATTGACCGAAAAAATTCACTTTCTACATCAACATGAGTAGATATTATAACTTTCAGATAAAAAAAAAAGAGAAGCCTTTTGAACGTGAATTAGCTAAGGCTATTGTTAAAGAGATAAACAGCTGATTAGAAAAACACAAAGAACTGAATCCAACCATTAATAATGATATTCTAGCGCCACCTGTGATAAAGAAAACTACACTGATGATGGCGTCTATTTTTTTCTTATTCCTTTACTATGGTGAAATAGCTAAGACACTTATAACTGTGAAAATATGTCGTAGGTTTTTTTCTTCCTGTGCTTCACTATGCGCTTGAAATAAACAAAAAAGATCGGATGAATGTATTCGTACATGCATATCGTTTCAAGCTTGACACAATCAATTACAGCATACTGAAAGAAATATGCTTTTGGTATGTTTGAAATATGAAGTGCAACGCTTTCTGTTTCTTGTGTGCTTTATTCAACCTTTCCTTTATACGATGAAAGTAACCTCAAGGCAAGAAAATAAAGTACTGGATAGTTTTTAGACGTTAATTTATTGACGCACCTTGATAGAGATATACGATTAGTCGCATTTCTCTTTCTGAGCAGATAGAAGTATGCAATAAATTTTATTTAGACAAGTTCAAGCAATGAATATATCAAGTTTCTTTTTTTAGTAGTGCTATTGTTATTATATGCTTTCAAGTGTTTTTTTTAAGGAGAAAACAGCAATAACTGAAATGCGTAATTAAATGAATCAACTAACTGAAATCTTCTTGTCCTTGCTTTGAAACTAATCGACAACATAAAAATATTTCGTCATTTCATTACATAACCGTAGTCTACTCTAACAAAGTTCTGTTCGCGTTTGATGATTTTTACATTTCTCATTATGTTATTGCATAACTATCGTCGACGCTGTTTTCTAGCAGCTACTTCAATGTTCTTTTTTTTCTTTTTTAGAAGGTTGATTTAATTACACAAACATAAAATTTTTACGGTCCCACCTATGTTTCGTTATTGATGAAACAACGATTTTTGGAAGAAAAGTATCAATCGATTTACATATATCCTATTGGCTCTGGTCATGAAAATGGCTAATAAAGAAGTAATAAAAAAAGAACTTTTTCTTTTTGTTATATGTTCTCTTGTGTTCTCAAGAAAACATTGCTGACTGAACACAAACAGACATCTTCATTCGTTTGAGTTAATCATTTGAGGAAATTAGAGATGTTTGCGTGACTTGAATCATAATAGAAAAGTAGAGCATTCTCTTGAGTAAATAATACACATTTATGGGAAACAAGAAAGACAGAAAAACGTTATGTTGAATAGATTCTATGGGCATACTGTAAGGGAATTGACTAATTAATTAAACATGAGAAATTTTATATTTTAGGCTCCTGTAAACGATTCCAATTTGCATATGGTTTTTTTTCGACGGCGATGCAAAAAGTTCATTTCAACAACTAATGATCCCTCTCGTTGTTTTTGTGGTCGACTCGAAACCGAGCATGGTAATAGTCTAGAATATCATCCATTATCTACAATAAAACCATCCAATCGTGCACTGAAATCCATATCGTCAAAGATTCTTTTCAGTGCTCCATCGCATGATCAATCGGAACATGATTACGAAAGATGGAATGTTGTTAAGCACACAACATTGTATCCTACAAATGCATATGGAATTATTGAATTTGAAAATATGCTTCATCCTGCTAAAGCACATTATCTACGTTTAGCTTATGATACAAATCCATCTCAAATAGTTCATCTTTTTGCAAAACAATGGCGTTTACAGTTACCGAATCTTGTAAGCGACGAAGAGAAAAAAAGCAATAAACATAAACATCTTTTTCTAGATTGTCAGTATTCATGGTGGTATACAAAATTTTGAATTGGAACCTCGTCTTCGTCAAGTATTGAAACGTGGACTTTTAAAAGCAGCAAAAACAGCTGGTGCATGGATATTTACATCAGGCATTAATACAGGTGTTGTTAAACATGTTGGTGATGCACTTTTTATGAGATCACGAATTCGGTCAAATATTGTTGTTGTTGGTATTGCACCGTGGGGAGTTATTCAAGGACGTGAGCAATTGAAAGGTCAAAATGTAAATAATATTAAGTTTGTTTTTTATTTGATAGAAACTAAATATTTGCGTTTCTGTTTCTAGCAAACTGTTCCTTATCATTCTGCCGCTGTTGTTACAGAAGATAATTGTGCAACATTAAATAGTTCACACAGCTGTTTTTTACTTGTTGATAATGGAACAGTAGGAAAGTATGGTGGTGAAGTTATACTTCGAAAACGTTTTGAAAAATATCTATCACAACAAAAAATATCGTTTCACGGTAAATGATAAAATAATTCTTTTCTTTTCTTTTGTCTCATAATATACTTTCTTTATATCTAAAATTTAAGGTCATGTTGGAAAACAAAACGTTCCAGTCGTATGTGTTATTGTGGAAGGTGGAACCAATACAATTCGAACAGTACTTGAATATGTTACTGAAGAGCCACCAGTAAAATTTAATTATCTGAATTAACATGTATTTTATTTTGTTCCTATCTAGGTTTCCGTCGTTGTTATTGATGGAAGTGGTCGCGCTGCTGATCTTATTGCATTTACATATAAACATATTCAAAAAGACGGGTTTGATTAAATTATCAATCATGAAAAGAATAGAAAAATATGTGTTTACGATTTTAGAACAATGGCACCTGATTTACAAGAGCAATTGTTAAATGCTATTGAAAAAACCTTCAATTATCATCGTCGACAAGCGGAAAAGGTTTATGTTGAATTAATTTTGTGCATGCGGAAACGACAATATATAACGATTTACAGAATGGATGATGATGGATCAAGAGAACAAGAAGATGTGGATCAAGCTATTTTACGAACTCTTCTGCGGTATGCTTGTTTTTCTGTTTATTTCGACTAATTACATGTTATGAAAAATAATTGCGAGCATCCGACTTTTTTAATTTCCGGCCGTAATGATCTCGATACACTTCCGCTATTAAGATCGGATTCAGAAATATACCATCTATGTCTACAAATCCTATTGCCTTTTTGTGTTCCTATTATTCAAAAGAATACTATCTCTATGTAATAGCTGGTTTCAAGTCGAGTTATAGATTATCAAAAATGGCATCATGTACTTTCTTAGATAAATCATTTGTGTGTATATTAATTGCGTTTCTGGATATGCATAGCAGTACGAAAAATAAAACATGATAAATAATAATGAGAATTATACTAGATAGCATTCCGTTTGGATACTTGAAAAATGATTGAGAAGAGATGGAAATAATTTTAAAAAAAAATATACTATTGTATTATCAGTGTTTATTTGACTATAAAACGTATGAAAACGGATGATTTTATTTGATATTACGCAACAGATAAAAAAAAAAGTGTAAGATTTAATAGCAGTTTCCATTTTTGACATTCTTTGTTGCATTTATAACGTTGCAAACTGATAAATTAAGAATACTGATTCAACCGAACAATTTTGAAAATATGAGAAATAGAAGCATTTTCTCTCCGTTGACATTCTTTGTTCATGAATCGAATGTTTTTTTTGTACCCACTAAAGATAAACGAAAATTTCACTAATCTGTTTTATTTGTTTCTATTAAAGAAATCATAAAGCAAGTGCCCTTGAACAGTTTCGTTTAACACTCTCATGGAATCGTCCTGATATAGCTCAAACATGTTTACTTTCGAAACGCCATGAACTCACTCAAGCTCAGTTAGATGTTTGTATGTTTGAAGCACTCGTTGAGAACCGTGTCGAATATATTAAATTGCTAATTGAAAATGGTGTATCAATTAAAAAATTTCTTACATTCAATCGTTTACAAGCGTTATATAATGCATGTGGCCAAAATTCAACATTACAAGTAATTGCAAAAGATGTTATACGTAGCGTAAATCATCATGTTTTAATAAGAACTTATTCATTATATGAAATCGGTCTTATCATCGAGAAACTTATTGGACAAGGCTATCGTTCATCGTATACACGTCGGAATATACGCCATTTATGTGCACGACAACCATTTAGTCAGAGACAAAATTTCAATGTTTTCGTAGATGCTGAACAAAAAGAACAACATTTACAAAACAATAATGCCACATCCAACGAGGATATGAAGAAGAATTCAGTGTCTGACGATCCGATCTTCGATTTTCCTTACAATGAATTACTTGTATTTGCTGTTTTAACGCAGCGACATGAAATGGCATTGTTTTTTTGGGCACATGGTGAAGAAGCATTAGCAAAAGCTCTTATTGCCTGTCGATTAAATAAAGGTTTAGCAAGAGAAGCACAAGATGATGAGCTCGATACAGACGTTGCCGATGAATTTACATCAAATGCGGAAGATTTTCAACAAAGTAAATTTTTATTTTAAATTAATAACTAGATTAAAGAAACATGAAGAATAAAAAAAGATAAAGTGTAAAACTATTACGTTGAAATTTGTTTAGGAGCACTTGCACTTCTCGATCAATGTTATCAAGAAGATGATATTAACGCAACTCAAATTCTAACCTGTGAACTTGAAAATTGGTCGAATTGGACATGTCTTGATCTATCTGTAACGGCTTATCTTCGAGATTTTGTAGCACATAAATGTTGCCAACAATTATTAGCCGATCTATGGATCGGTGGAATGAATGTTCGAAAATATCTTAAATGGATGGTTTTACTGGCACTCTTTTTTCCACCGGCACTGTTTTTGATTGATTTTAAATCTTCAATAGAATTGCAACTGATGCCACAAACAGAAGAAGAATATTTTCAAAGTAGGATACATTTAAGAAAAAAACGAAAAACGTTCTTATAAAACAAATAATTTCTTCTGTCCTTTTTTTAGACGAAGAAGATCTTATTGATAGTGATAATAATGATGATGATTCTACTGATTCTAATTCCGAAGGTTCCAAAGCATCATCATCAGATGAATCCCATGAACCGGTGCTTTCTGCTACAGAACGTGATGATGAACAAACTAATGATGAACTACAAACTGAAATAAATACATTACGAAAACGACGAAAGAAAAGTCGAAAGAAAAAACGAAAGAAACAAAATAGTACTACAATAAATCCCGATGATCAATCAGCATCGCCAGGAACTAATCATAATACTCGGCCCGATAATATTAATTTGTTTGCATTAAATAATTTAACAGATAATCATATTCAAGAAGTAATAGAGACACCAATAACAACGATATCAATCAATGAACAAGATGAAATTAATAATTCAAGTGAAGCTACTACAACACAACGAAGATCAGTGCGATATTGTTTAAAAAGTATTCAAGAAAGAATTTCTCGTTCAGCAGTATATCGTTTCTTTGGTTTAATATTACGTCCAACACGAAAATTTCTTCGACGTTATCGATGTTGGAAACGACCAGACCGTGATATGAATTCAAATGATAATACAGACCAAATACCCTTAACGAAGAAAATTTACGAATTTTATAATGCACCAGTGACAAAATTTTTTCAAGATTTAATTTTCTTTATTATTTTTTTGGCAATTTTTACGTATGTTACACTTATTCGTACGCCACCTAAACCATCTGTATGCGAATGGCTTTTAATGTGTTATTTAACAACAATGGCTATGGATTTAATAAGAGAATTAGTAACCATGAACGAAACAAGATGGAAAACTTGGTTATCAGTTTATTTTAACGATGTTTTGCATTTATTTGATACATTTTGTTGTGCTATGTTTGCTGTTGCTTTTGGCTTGAGATTGACAAATGACTTTCGGATTGTTGGAAGACTATTATTATGTATTAATTTAAGTTTATGGTATTTTCGAATGTTTCATTTCTTGGTTGTATCGAAAGAAGTTGGGCCATATATTCATATAGCAGCAAGAAATGTAAGTTGTGAAAACTATTTACTTTTATCTACTAAGTAAGAAGACAAAATGAACGGTGTAGTTCATTGACTCACATAATTGCCAGTCAGAAGATAATCAAACTATTAAATTTCAAGTACTAGCCATAGTAGATGTCACAGTGTGTAGTCTCCTGCACGGGTGCAACTTTTCATACCCGGAGCCGGACCGAGTGATTTTTCCCACACCCGGAACCGACCGGGCCCGGCGGCCTTACGCCCGTACCCGAACCGGAACCGGACAGCTAAACCCGGTACCCGACCGGGTTGTAGTCAAAATTTTGCTAATAGTTTATTAGTGACATGATCTCAATGAGATAAGTAATCGATAATAAAAGATCAATAAAATTAATAAATAATAAATAACATCAAAAACGATGTTTTTGTTGTTCAACTAAGATCTAGAAGATAAAATAGAAGTGAATTCAAATGAGAAATTATAGAGAAATTAATTATATTTACAATCAATAATAGATAACATTAGAAACTATATTTTTGTGGTAAAAATAGATGATGAAGAGCTGAGCTAGGACAAAAAATAAGAATTAATGAGCATGTATAAGTATGTGAGAATGGATACTTACGATGCTTCATGTAAATGTGAAGCGGTATAGGTCAGTTATATAAAGCAGCTATATAGCACACTCAGCGAAGTTTCTTTAACATATAAGTAGAACCATGGTGTTTGTGGGTTAGATTAGGTGACTCATCGTGGCTGTTGAGTATACTAGTGAATAATAACCCAATAAGATTCACATCCCTATGACTGAAATGCCTGAAATCGACAATGATATCTGAAAATTTCATGTTTCTTCTTGATGTCACTAGTTGATCGGTCGGGTGCCGGTTTTTTGAAAATTCCTCAGCCCGACCCGACTTTTTTTCTCAGACCCGGCACCCGGCCCGACCCGGAGCTTTTCACCCGAACCCAGGCGCCGGGTCGGGTCGGGTGCCGGTTACCCGGTCCGGCTGCAGTACACTAAATACAACAGCTGATCCACTTCAACAATCTCAAGTTCGTGATAAGACTATCGAGAAAGTTGGGAAACGTTTTCTCCCTGAGTTTATGAGACTTTCTGAATAAAACCTAGCGAAAGTTATGCTTTTTTTTGAACTGAACAAGTTCCACTACAGAGTTTTTTTTTAGGAAAGAAAAATTTCATTATCTAAATGTTTTTTCCTCGTCATTAGGCAACGCATAATAGAAAAGAAAATTGTTAATAAAAATATGATCATCATTGACCTGCCTTGTCATTATACATATTGCCTGAAACAGACTAGACGAATTAAAAGTGAATTAATAAAGGTGATTAGCGTTGCTATTACGTAGAAACACGAATCACATCTCTTGATTCACATTGTTGAATTCATCTAGTCTGTTTCGGATCATATTCTATTCTATAAATATCACCGTCTTCTTTTGCCATTTCTCATTATTATCATGAAGCATTTATATATATAACTATACAGTCTAGGAAATAGTCAAATATGTCAGAAAAAGAGGTAGTTATTGATCAAGCAATAGGTTTTATATTTGCCATCTTAACTACTTATATATATATATATGTATATATTTTTTTTATAGGTTTCACAAACTGAACGGAAAGCACAAGTGATGAAACTTGCGCATGATTTGCTAGCAAATACCATTACATATGAAGAATATATAAATGCTATGGCCCAACTTGTTTTTAAATGGCAATAACAACCTTAAAGTGATAAATTTTTGTCTATGTTGAATCCCATTGCCAAAACTTAAAATTTTTCTTTCTTTTTCTCATTCACTATCATACTCAAATATGGTTTTTTTTCTTTCGTTATGCTTAAATATAACTTTTCGTATTAATCATCATGTAAACTTTTATTTATCGTTGGTTATTATAAAACATTTTCATGTTATTTCCAATGTCATCTATTATTACTCATCCATGAATAGTCGTGATCGATTCATCTATCTCAGTTTCATATGGTGAAAACTCTCCATCACCTATTACCATGAATGATTCATATTCTTGACTTGAAAATTCTGATTCTCAAGGAACAACTCAATTTGTTTCAGATCAAAATGTAATTAGTCAAATTTATTCAGATAAAACATTTTATTGAATAACATTTTTTTGGTGGATGGTGTGTCTAATGTCTATTGATACACACACCCTCAGTTTGAAATTATAATTACGTAGAAACTACATATCTGATATCTGGTATCTGTCGAGAATTAGAAACTGTAGATAGGTAGCATGTTATATATGTTGAATGTTTAAACTATTCGTAGGGTAGAAAGTAAATATCTGATTTCTTGTGGAAAAATTAGATATCAGCGATCAAATATATCGTGAAAACTGGTACGGATTTGAGATTTGTCATGATCTCTCTTCTAGTGTCTATTGTTTGAGAGATAGGCACTCTAGAGAGTGGGTGTCCCAAAGGATATAGAACTTGTTGTGAGTATAGCGAAGGGGGAGCAGATGTAGGGTCTAGTAGAATCGCCTCCGGTATCTGATATATCTTTAACAATAGAAACTAGAAGAAGTCTCCATAAACTTAAATAAGTCATTTAGTCAAACAAATATCAGAATCAAGAAATCAAATTGTTTATGGGGAAAACTTCTATAGACACTTGTTATGTAATGTGAATTGCAAAAAATCTATCGAATATTGTTTTTCATTATCATTTAGATTACGATGGATTTAATTCACAGATAATTTTCTAGTCGCAATTTTATAATCGAAAAAGGCAATTATTAAGTTGATTGTGTTCTGATAAATTTCTGTTGGTGAAAATAGCAAAAAAATGGTATCAAACTCAGAATAATCTTATTATAATGATAATCATCAGTAATAGTTTCTGCAAAATGTTAGCATAAACGTTATTAAGAAAAAATGTAAATCATTTGTAAACAGTGAATAAATCCGGATAAAAACTATCAGGATTCACTACAGTAAACTATAAATATTTTAAAGAAGAAATATTTCATGAAAGTAATAAAAAAGATGAGTGTAGTTTTATGTAGGTATAGCAAAATTCTACAACTATAAGCAAACTTGTGCTAAAATCCACAGATGTCTGCGTAATTGTATATTTGCTTTTGTAATCTTTATGATTTAATACCGGACGAGGATTGAATTCAGATTGAAAGCATGATAAACTTATGAAGAGATTATGCACAAGGTTATATAAGGACATTATATACTACTAGTAAAAAAAACAGTAAAAGTTCTAGACTTTGAAGTAGTCTAGGTAACATGATAGGTAATGGAACAGAATATTTCAGCGAAAAATACGTACTGTTTTTCTTCTGATAGTATATAAATAAAATTCATGTTCTGTAAATTTATCTACTTTAAGTTCTATTTCAAGAAGTAATCGTATGCGAGTCACTATGATGTTACTTTTGATACTCATATTTTGTATTAATATTTCTACTACAATTCAGTCGAACTCAACATCTGGCTACTCTGACGTTATAAAAATTCCAAGCTCTCAGACGAGCAGTCTCGACAGACAATGTAATTGTGTACCAGCTCGATATATTTACCGACGGTATCAAGATCCCATAAAATTTGAATTAAGCCAACAGGCAGATACCTTCATCAAAATTCCTGGGCTGATGGTGGCTGCTCATCACACAAAGCCGATGGTTTACCAGATTAGATATCAAGGAACTTGCTGGATCGCAAGGAATCTTGCCCAAAGCATTCTAACAATATTAATCGATAATCAAGTTTTGATCGCAAATCAACTCCTCCCAAACAGCAATCGACGATATGCACTAGCATCACAAATCGGAGGAAAGTCGGCCGACCTCAGGGGAGGAAGCTATTGGTACTCTGGTACAGCGGCTGGTGCCAGTTTTTCCTGGTACAAAACGGAATTAGTACTAATGCCGGCGGGAACACATGTGATTGAAGTTGGAGTTCGTGCCGAAAATACTATTTTGCATCTATGGGGTGGAGAACTCACTATTGATATGACAGAGTACGATAGTGCACAGTACAGCACTTTAACATATCCGACTGTTTGGAACTGATCATGAAAAGGATTTCATATCCCGGCCAGTACCCAGTCCCAAATTCATATTCATACCTCTTCCCAGTAGTTTTCAAATTCCAATTCATTTTAAAGCTCCATTTATTATCGAAAGAACTATTTTCATTATAACCAAGACTCGTTTTTTTTTCAGAAATTCGATTAAAAAAAAGGAAAAAAATAACCTCTCAAATAGTACTTGTTTTAATGATAAATCGTAGTATCTGCCAAAACCAATAATTGATAACTGTTAAGTATTTAAAATGAGAAATTATATAATCCTACTTAAAAACAGACTAACACTGCGTTCTCTCCGATGGATATTGTTTTCTTTCTCATAAAGAAAAAAAAATATCTGATTATTCTAATGCAAAATATGAATTATAATTATTCTCATTTATGAAAAGAAAAAAAAATATCTGATTATTCTAATGCAAAATATGAATTATAATTATTCTCATTTATGAAAAGAAAAATCTTTGAAAAAAAACTATTGGATTTCGCATATTTATCATCGTGTAATGATATTTTTACTATTTCTATGTCTAATGAATTTCCCTGGTGAAGATGAAAATATGATATTATTAAATGATTTCAATCATACAATTATGTATTATCATTTTTCTTTTATTCTGCTAAAATGATTACCTCTTATAGTTATAACGATAAATTCCATTGCGCATATCATACTGACTTTATTTTCCTCATATGAGCATTTTCTTCTTCCTCATTGAAGTTTTTCATTACACAAAAAGTTAAAGCTTATGATGTATTACAACATAACACAGTAGCTCCCAGTCTCTCCTCGACTATTGCAAATACCTCTTCAATCTTTGGATATGAGTGTGACAAGAAGAACTATATCCATATCCACATCGTATCTGCCTTTACAATAGATATTAAGATACAGCATTTATAAGTTGAAATTGATTTGGAACACAATTTTTAAGTTTCGTTTGAGATAGACAGTTTCATTAAGACACTTGGGATCTTACATTTCTTTTTGTTGATTTTACATCCTAGTCATGACATTTTTCAAACGAGTGTTAAAAAGATGATACTATTTGGATTGATAATATTTTCCAACTTAGCAGACTTCATATTGGTATGTGCTCACTTACGGCATACATAATGAAAGATTCAAAAATAATACATGTAGACGATGGTTCATCTTTTATATCTTAATAGGAGAGAGTAGCTTTGAATAATTTCGAATACCAATGTATTACAAAGTCAATCTTCTCTATTCATAGTCAATGATGAGTTTATTGGCAAACAATCATCTATTTATCTGTTTATTTTACGAGCGAACCATGTTGCATTTTATGTCTTCTTCTTATCTAGCATTTAATGATAGATTATTTAATTCAACTGAGATAACTTTAGTTTATGTTCAAGAGAGAGCATATTCAAATCTAAAACAACATTCTATGATCAAAATCATGATTCCAAGTTGTAGTGCTCTGCCAAATAATCGAAACTAAAATTTGTTAACATTGCTTTGCAAATAATGATACTGATGCACATAAATTTAATTATGATGTTCAAACATTATTGATTGATTGATAACTGGGAAGAGGAATTCTGTTGGATGAAATGAAACTGTTTCAGGTGAAATCAGTTTTTCATTCTCTAGTTATACTCATTATGTCAGCTTTTTTGTTTATACTAGGATTCATCTTTAAAAGAATCGAATGGTTAAATCTCAGCTAAAAATTTTTGTACTCCACCATGTTTTCAGTGCTAAAAGCCGCAAAGATGTGACCGGTCCAGTTGAAGAAAAACACGAACCAATTCCATCATTGACGTGTAGGCACTCATAAAAGAGTCACACCCACAACGAAACAAAAATAAAAAGCACTTTATTGAATACAGATACAAAGCAATATGTAAATCTAGTTACATTTATTTCTATTTTTAATATGCTACGGTAAACGTTCACTTGCAGATGACAAGGCTTCAATATCATCATCTGAAGTTTCTAATTTTTGTTCAAGTGATTCTCTATTTTCCATTCCTCGTGACCAGTGTGGATAAGAACGTGGATTATTGCGTTCTTCTTTTCGTTGGATCCTTATTTGCCGGAATTGAATATTTTTAAGATCTTTATTTAGCTCGCATATTGCTGCGAATGTTTTTTTAAATGCTTGCTTAACGACTAGAGTAATATTATACCAAGGTGATGTAAAAGCATTGTTAATAATTTTTCCTGAATATTGACGTTTTACCAAAAACACTACTTTGTGTGCACCAATTATAGATTTATAATCATTCATGTTAACAGTTGATCGTATAGATTCTATCCTAGCGATTATTGATTGAATCGTAGCACGAAGTGTTGATAAACTTGGGTCATGCATAATATCTAATAATTCTCCGGCACACTTCAATACCTAAATAAAACAACAAAAATCAAAAGAACGTTTATGTTCGAAATATTATTTACTTTTTGAACCGTGTCAACATTTTTCCGACTGTATCTACTGAGGTTTCTTGCATCTTTGTGAAAATTATCCCACGATAAAAATTCAATATGCGAATGAGACAGTGTTGATGTTTCTAATTCAATTGGCGGAGTAAATGAAGATGAACGACGATAAGCTTTGTCGTTTTTTTTCACAAGTTTAAACCATTTACTACGCATAACCTAAGCACAAAAAGACTTCGAAAATCTCAGTAGAAGAAATAACTACATTTCAAAAACGCATATTAAATAAGAACAGAAACTTAAAGTATTTTTTCAATTGGAAACAATTTAAGAAAGTCTAATCTATCAAATGCAGAAATATTTTGAAAGCCGAGAAAATATTTATACATGCAAAGACAACGATTGGGCATATTTTCAGTCATCTGATAGTAAACTTATCAAGGACAGTTCACTGAAACATAGTCCATTGCTCTGCTTGTTTCAACATCTAAATACCTTTAATTTTTCATAGAATTCATTAACTGCTGCAAGAATCGTTGAATAAAGTTCAATGTGACTAAATTTATGTTTTTGTTTTTTAAGTAGGCTTCTTATTAACTCAGAAATACTAAAAATATTAAGAAAACAATTCGTATGCATTGTAACATTGTTTTGATCAATTAATTGAAATTTTATTTTTGATTGTCGAAGGTGATGTTTTAATGAATCCATTGTTAAACACGTATAACCGTAAACGATCGATACATTCTCAAATAATTTAATCAAATTTGCGTCAAAACTATTTTGACTAACCAAGTCACGAACATTTTTCATTATAGAAGTAATTGATTTTTTAAATGAATAGTCTAAATATGTAAGTTAGATGGTAAGAATCGAACATTATTTATTAATTACCCCGTAACGAGCTAGAAAAAGAAAACTTTTAATTTTATTTAAAAGAAAAATAACTTGTTTACTCATAAACGTGTTCTTCTTCGAAATCTTGTTCATCATCAACAAGATGTTGATATTCTATTGATGTTGTGGATAGATTCGTTGTTGTTTGTACAGATGTTCTAATAGGATAAAGTAGTTCAGAAAAAATAAATTCATTAAAAAATTTGGTTACTCTTGTTTTGTTATTAATGAAATCGCTGATGTTGTCATTTTAGGTTTGCTTTCATTTGTCGTTGTCGTTTTTCTGGTTGTATCATTGGTATTAGCTTCAAAGGAAAGAATAGACAAAATAATAATGGTATGTGAAGAAAGCAATGCTACCTTCATGAGTGCAAATATATACAACTGCACTTGCACAGTTCAATCCGTTCTGGTGAATGTATTCAAAAAATGTTTCATATTGTTCGAGATTCAACGGATCGAGTTTAAAATCGTATAATGATGTTTGAAGTTTAGTATCATCTTTTGATCAATAAAACGAATATCGAAATATTTCATTATTAAAATTAATTTTTTTCCAATTACCCAACTTAAAAATGTTAAGAAGAAGATGACGAACGTCAATCAGGCTCATGGATTTATTATGCCAATCACATAAACGAAAACCACCACCATTTGCAAGATCGACTTTTTTTACTGTGCCATCTTTATTAAGCATCAGAAGACCACAACGAAATCGTTTGTACATTGATGATAATTATCTAAACCATCAAAAATCGTTAGTAGAAAATACATGTTCAATTCGAGTACAATCACATTTCTACTATACGATACACATTAGATCAATTTAACAAACAATTAATTCAGCTATAACTCTTCTAATTGGTATACGAAAAGCGAATAGTCTTTTTGGTTAGTTGTGCGTGAGTCATCGAACTAATGTCGATTGACTGCGATGAGTGACATCTGGAATGAGTGGAGTTGTCAGGACAACGAATTATGACTGCGATAATATATGAAATGAAATCAGACAACAGAGCTGCGCGGAAGTGACCTAGTCCCAACCCGGGACGGAATGAAATCAATTCCCTTCAGCATCTCGACAAGTTTATATGACCCATGGTCGTCAAATATTGTTTTGTATTTATCGCAGTCATGAAATCCTACAAATCACTATTGAAAATTTTCCCAATGATGTTTTTAATATTTTTATTTTATATTGTATTCATTTCTTCATTTTTCAATTATTAATAACCTTGCTATTTTTATAAATCAACAACGAAGTCATGTGGCATGTCTTTCGCTGAAATTTCCCCAACAGTTCGTGTATCTGACAATTGAAATATCTTTATGTTAGCTAATTCCTAACAGCCAACAACTTGCGTTGACAATATAACGAGCTGTGCCTGCTGAATCCCAATTGACATATAATTTCGTCCAGCCACAATCTAAACATAATCGTCCTTCTGTTGACGTCGGAGATGGGTCATACACAGCAATACTAGAATTATCATCACTGGCTGTTGCTATTGTGACGAATACCTCGCGACTTGTTGGCGTTGAATATACTGGATGACATATGGTGATACCCTCGAATAAATTTGTGATTCCAGTAAAAATTTGATGTTCACCGAAACTTCCGATTTGTTGATGACCATTTTCTTTGAATGTCATTATTTTTCCGCCATAATAATTTCCTTCGAGAGTAATACCAAATTTTGTCCGAAGAAATTCTGATGCATGACATACGTATGGTGTATTATCGGCAAATAAAAAAATAGCACCACCAGTTGAATGAAAAGCTGTTAAAGCTGTAATAAATTTCGAATTTTGAATTTGATTGGTACTAATAATCCATGCGATTTGATAATAATTTGAAGCAAGTTCTGTTATACATGCATCCTCAGTTTTCACATGTGTCACTTGGAAACCTTTAGATTTCAGCTGATCAATTGGTAGTTGCATTGCTGCGTCATTGAACTGTGCATCAGAATAGAATTGTGCAATCAAAATATGAAATCCCATAAATGCCCCATCTCGACCTAAATCGTATTCTCTTCCTGTTGGATTACCGTACCGATCGTATCCATTAGCATCAGTAATATTACTTTTGCCTGCGATCTCGTTATATGATTGCAATGGAAGCGAAATAGTAGACGATGATGTACGTTGTTTAACAGTTCTTTTCTTCTTTTTGGTATACTTCTTACTCACAGTACTAGATGCAACTGTTCTAGTTGTATATGGTGACGACAGTTGACGTGCTAACGCAGCACGTGTAATGGCTACCATTAGCTGATTGGCAATGAATTAAACAAGTTAAAATGAAGTATCTCAAAACGAGAGTTTTTAAAAAGTAGATATGAGACAAATTTATCTCGGTGACCGCACTACTAGATAGTTCTGGATTATATTGATAATTAATCTATTTTTAGAATGAATTGTAGAACATTTGCGAAATAACACCGACAGTTTATATAGTAGGGACGTGGTGTGACTATTGTGCAATAAGTAATGTCACAACACTAGTGTAACCATTGTACAATAAGTAATTTCATAACAGTGGTGTAACTTTTTCTTTTCCTATAGTTTATTGTTCCCCAAAAAAGTCAAGTTAACTTAATATAGACCTATGCGAAAGAAAACGTTTTCTTTACCAGCATGGAGCACTGTGAAAAATTATAGAATCACCTATTTGAATTCAGTTGTTTGTTCGTTCTCTGGCAATTTAGACTTCTGAGAGAAATAGTCAATATAATTGCACATGTTCAAGTATGATCAATCCAACTAGGAAATCAAATTTCTCAATGCTAATACTAAGCTTGAGAAAGCAAATGTTCGTTGAAATCGATCAATTATTGCCTGTGAAAAATTGTAGAATCAATATCGTAGTTTCGTTGTTTTTGCATGAAGGTTACTTTGGTTTCAAGCAAAAAATCAAGGAAGACTGTAGATAGGACTAGTAAGAAATGTCCACAGCACCCGTCATGTCTAGTTCATTTTGCCTGTTGGTCCAGTTCTCACTAGTAGAAAGATTAAGAAAAGAGGTTACCAGGTGGATTTGAACATCGAGCCCGACAGTGCTCGAAATATGATGGATATCCTGACGGCAGACTATGACACTGAAATAGGCACAGAAAAATAAATCAAAATGAGCGTACTTATGCCAGTAGGAAGTTATCATTTTTTCATCTTCAAATATAATCCGTTCGATATTACGAAATTTGAAGGAATCGTTCTTGGATGAAATAAACAATTGCGTGATCTGCAGAATTCAACTACTCGTTCTTTTCGGACAGAAGTTCCTAACACGACAGACAGAGATTTACTTTTCGTTTGGTTAGAAGCGGAAAACTTTAATGTAAATAAAATGAACTTGTTTTGGAGTTTGAAACGGTTCTCATAAAACCATAACTTGTGAAACAATTTATTTAATATTAAATTATAATGAGTGTAATACTCAGCGCCAGTTGCATGTGAAAGTGTACAGGAAATTTACTCCTAGATGAAATTCATGAAACTAGTTTTGATCTCAAACATCTTTGTTATTATTAATTATCAATTTAGTTCTAAATTTCGGATGTCTCAAATGCAACGATCTTTTTCACCGTTAATATCGACACATTTATGTATATAAATTTACGAATCTTGCAAGATTCATCGAATGCTATTGAAACAGTAACAAGAAGAGGTTATCTGTTGAAAATCAAAGCTGTCTTAGAAAACATTTGTTAGCAGATAATGGGGTGTAGGTGAGTTTATGCACGGAGAATAATGAAGCTAAGACCGAATCCACACTCACGTCCTTACCTTCACACCCACGCCCATACCGAATCGAAAAACCAAATTCAAACTCGGTGAGTGCCAAGGTTGAGTATCAAATCTGCACTCTCAAGAAGCATAGAATAAGCCGGCACATCTGGCATTGTCTCTTACACACATTAGCCTGAGATAAATATAAAAGAAAGCAATGAGAATCGAACAGTCTGATTCTTCTTCATACTCGGGGGTAAATATGTCATCTGGTATGGCTTCTCTGCTCGTTTGCCTCGCTACTTTATCATCGTCTTTGGTCGTGTTAGCTCAACGTGGTGAGAGTTGTAAAGCCATGAGCAGTCCAATTTATGACTGCTCACAAACTATTTATTCGGACTGCAAGAATGCAACATTCGTCACTGATCGTTCTACTTTTAGTAAAAATTGTTCACAGGTGTCCCTCTTTTGGGATGCACCACTGTACAACATGACCCTTCTCTTCGACAGTGATCTTATCGGACCCTATGAACTGTGTCTTGAACGGATGATGTGTACAACAGCGTTTCTTACAAAGAACGATGGTAGTGAAGTTGAAATCAAATGGGAAAAATTCAATGAACCAGTCTGCTTTAAAAGTCAACAAGACATACCCATCATGCAGTTTCGATTCGATGCTGGAGAACGTTGGCACTGCTACGGATCATTCATCAATTTCTTCTTTCGTCAATAGTAATCGATTTTAATCTGTTCTATCTCAATAAACTGAAAGATTTTGCTGCTTCGAACAGCAGTGTCCAAGAACTGAGAAATAGGAATTCGTAATCTGTAAAGAAAATGACAGCGTTGCTTTGATAATGCCCTATGGAAGCGAAAATCAGCCGTAAGTTCCCTCATATGTTCCTCATTCATGAAAGTCAAAGTAATGTTTTTTCTAAAATACTTTTCGATACCAACACATTCAAGTTTCTCGATGAAAAATAGTGTAGCCATAAAATATATCATGGATTTAGTGTTTTTTAATATTGGCATTTAAGAAAGTGTGTGTGGGGGGGGGGGGGGGGGGGGGGGGGGGGGGGGGGGNCCCGCCCGAGGAGAAATTCTCAATGCTCAGTTCTTGGATACCACTCTATTATGCGGGAAAAACATTCTAAGATAAATCTAAATGTTGATCTTTTCTCCGAGCTACACGTTCTTTTAACTTCTTTGAAATTAATGCTCAAAAAAGCATCTTCGTTCTACGGTATCGTGACGTTGATCAGTAAGAGTGACAGATACAATAACACGTATTATTTCCTCTTTTTTCCCTCGTAGTAAATTGCAATTATAGTCGATGTCATGTCGATAGTAGTAGGTGGTAAACTACTGATAGTATCATTAAATATTTGCCTTTTTTTCTGTTTCAAAACTTGAGTAGATACAAATGATGTCATATTTGCAAAAGCAAACTCTGTAATAAAACATTTCTTTCTTTATTAAAATTGATAGTATATCTATATGAATTGATTAATTCTGACTTATATTTAGTTAAGTAGATTTGAAAGCTATCATGTTTTTGTTTATTAAATTTTCTAATTTAACAAACATGATTGCATTGGATATATCGAAAAAAAATGATATTTTCCTATTAATTATATCTATTTAAGGCAAGTTGTATTTCGAAATTCTATTCTAGTATGATGTGAATAAAGCTATAAATATTATTGTTATTAGTCTCGTTTCTTTTTCCTCATGATCTATTTATAACAAAGGAGAAGAAAAAAAACTCTTTTTTGTCATACTTCAACATATATATATTTAACTAGAGCTGTTTTCTATAATCCAGGCTCGCGTAACACGCTAACAAGTACTAATATTAGAAACGATAAGGGTTCAATGGATTGGACCATTGAATACATAAATACAGGCAAATGTTTTCCCTCATTATGGCTCGTCTTCTCTCGCTTGTATTCATTTTCTTTCTTTTTCCCGACACTTGAATTATGAAATAAAAAAGCAGTACGCTGGGGGAAAAGCCATGCCTGGGAGAGAAAATCAAGACTTGATCGTCTGTTATCACGTAAAATGGATGCCTGTTTTTTTTTGATTCATGATAAAATACAAACATACAGTCTCTTGTTACATTGTCAAGTATAACTGGTAGAGAATAAACAGTAAATTTATTTCTAATAGAATACTAACGTAAGTTCAATATGATTTTTATAGATGTAATTCATTTGAAAGGCACGATTATTTCTGTGATTTAGCATTGGATGCAATGTCAAAATCGCTCAGATAAAAAGTTCGAGTTTACTAATAATCTAAGACAGCATTATATCTGCTGGGAGGATCTACACGTGTTTTTTGTCCCTAGTAAAAACGTTTTTCTGTCTGGTCGCGTTGTTTGGGGATCCTTTCTTCTTTTTTTCATCGTTGTCGTTCTCGATTGTTTTGTATCGTTGTATGTCGATGCAATAAACATTGTGTTGCTTTGATACCAGTGAAGACGTTAGTACGCACAGCTTGCTCGGCTTTGCCTTCTCCTTTCTCCTACGTCTCTTACTTTTTTCGCACAAAAAAAGAGAAGAAAAAGAAAAAAGAAGCGAGCAATAAACAGTGCGACATACAACGAGTCGACGACAACAACAAAATAAGACGACAAGAGACTAGAGTCGTCATAAGGATATAATATGCGTTACGATTATCGACGACAATATTACCAACGTTTGAAAATCTAAAGCAAAATAATCTACGTTTTGATTTCGATAGACATTCACTATTTTCATAGAATCACTATATCGCACTGTCACATTTATCCAAACGGCTAGTCGTGATAGACATCAGGTACAAGTTTTCTTAACAGGAAATCTAATTTTTTTCTTTTATACACTTGTCAATAATCTTCCTTTGTAAATAGAGAAATCTAATTTTCATCGGGAATTAATTGAATTCAAATTTCACAGCGAAATAAAAAGGAAAAGAGATGTGTTTTTCTTTGGATAACTATATACTATGTACAATTATATCTGACTGTCTTGTTTTCTTAAGTAAGCACTGTTATCCCATTAGTCGGTCTATAGGAATGAGATAGATATATATTATCAGTCTAGTTGTTCTCTTCGTGTTTGTAGATGTATGTCTAGATGATTGTCTAGTTGTTCTACGATAGAGAAAAAATATTTTAGACTCGTACAGAAACATCATTATGTTTAGATTATGCCAATGAATCTATGGTTATATATTTCAATGTCCTCTTCACTTTTTCCTTTTTTTTTTAAATATACCCAGGTTGATCAAAACGGACTCGTTTACGGTCTGTTTATCGACGGTAAACAATGTCAAAACGGTATATTTACGGCAGTAAATAGGCCGTATTTGCCCGTAATACCTGGCACAGTAATACGGCATCGTAAACGGGACTGAATTTTCATAGTTTACGACTGTTTGTGCTCCGTACTCTCATCATCATACGGTCCGTATTACTGCGCCAGATATTACGGCAAAGTTTCGCCCGTAAAATAGTCGTAAAGCAACCGTAAACGACCGTATACGGACAGTACTGTTCGACCTGGGTACGATAAAGAATTGCGCTGCTGGCTACTAATAATAATAATCATGAAGATTTATGCGTCGATGAAAAGATGCACGAATAATCAAGCGTAAGTTTTAGTTATAAGCTCATTGGTAAAAAAGAAAAAGTAATTCAATTTTCTTAGATGAACATTTTTAACCTTGATTATTAAAGTTCAAAGGGAAATATTGAAAATATTTTCTATTTATAGATCTTAATTGTGAAACGATAACAAAATTATCCTATTTTCAAATGCTACTCATATAATGTAAACGATGAGTACCATCAATCGAAGATGGAATGATATTATATTTAAATTCGATTAAAAATGGCAATCAATGTCATCACAAAAAAAATGCATCAACAACGCCAACAACTGCTGTCACTTCACGCACATCGTATCGTTCAACGATGACATCGAATCTTGCTAGTAATACTAATTTGAATATAAAACGAGGCGAAAGTTCAACCGGTGAAGATTCAGTAAGTGAGCAATCGTCAATGAATTGTGTATTGGCGTGATTTGAATAGGAAATGAGTAAAAAATGATTTATATTTTCATATATCATTTTAATAAATAAAAAAAAGAAAACAGTGCAAAAAGTCATTGTGTTCGTCGATAAAGTATCTATTAGAAAATGAATGTCTAATCATCCAAAATAGAAGAGCTATTTTTGTATACTCTAAAAATACTTTCGATATTCTATTTATCTGTAAAGTTATTTATTTTGATTGAATGAATAGCATGAGACAAGTTTCTATTTTATGATTTGTGCGTCTAAAAATATGACGCGATTAGATCATAGAAAATCTGCCAAAGTATGTTTTTTTTTCTTCTTTTTGAGCCAATGATCATTTCTCTGAGTCAATCAACCATTAATCTGCAAGTTATCATAGCTGTCGCATCATTATATTTAATGTACTTTTTCGTGTGGGTGTTTATCATAGTGTTGTAGAAGATCAGTAACTTCAATCTACTTTCTTGTCTCTCTCTCTCCCTCTAATTACGTTGTTTTTTGTTTGAGGAAAAAAGAAGCGCGGTATATCTATACATATAACGTTGTGTCTGTTGTCTTTTCCCTTCTGTCTTGTTGTTGTTGTTGACAACGACGACGACGATGATGATGATGATGATGATGAGAGAGGATAGAAAACGCATGTGCATGTGTCCATCTTTAGACATTACTAGAATTGCCGACAACAATAACAATAAATGCCACACTAAAACGATTAAAGTATCAATTGAATAATAGAAAATCATTCGAGTTTCTCTTCATTCTAAATGATCGAGAATCTAAACAGCTGTCGGCCCGATTAGAATCTCAATGACTATTGATACTACTAGTCTTTTTCCTTCTTCAGTCGATGTCCAAATGATATTATATTGAAAATATACATTTATTTGAATTAATATGATAAGAACACTAAAACCAAAGAATAGAAAGAAAAAGCTAATATTGAGATTTTTCTCGTTCTTGACTGTCAAGAGAGAGAAACAAAGAGAAAGATCATTTGAAGTGCTATTCATGCTGAGTAATACTTTATTTTAATATAAACACGCAATAAAGATCTTAATACGATTTTTCTAAATTCTAAATTCTATACGCAAAAAAAAGAGATTAATTTATTAGTCGATTTTTATCATAACGCAATCATGACATTCGAAGATCTTGTTTTTTTTCCTGTTTCTCTCTCTCTAGATGCAGACAGTATGCGACTAATTTTCTTTCGAAAGAAAAAAGAAAAGAACCGGAACGATAGATCGGAAATAATTTGTCAAGATTTATTCAATAGGCCTTCTAAAACAGTTACAAACTTTTGTCGCTGACTATCAGACAGAAAAAAAACCCTGAATTCATATCCAACATTTGACTAATAGATTTTGTGACACTCAGGGGTAAATAGAAGAGCAACAAAGAAGCCAATATAATGATTAATAGACTTATAAAATATTCTCTCATATGTGTCACACTTGAAAAATGTTATATCTCTCTGTCGGTTTCAAAATCTATGTTAAGTATATAAATTGTATTCATGTAATCATAAATCATTTATATAAATATACATGAGCAAAATATTTCGGAAAATTATTCTTCGGAATAATTTTTTCCTCTGACTATGACGATCATGTCTAATTCATACATACACGGTATTTCTCTATTTTTTATTTTTTATTTGCCTATTGTGTTTTGTTAAAGTCATTGCCTTACATGACAAGGTTCGTTCGTTTTTCTTTTTTTTTTTTTATAACTTGACTGATGTCAGTGGCGGATCTACCAGTTAGGCTACCCGGCGATCGCCACTCCCGTTAAGAATTTTTTTTCGGTTTTCCCCAGCAGAAATGAAACAGAAAATAGTCGTTCTGCCTAAAATAGACTGAAAAAGGAGTTTTTTGGCCAGGAGCGCCACCCTGTAACATATTTTCTGGATCCGCCACTGACTGATGTCTGCAGGCATGTTCTAATTTGTTAGACTTACGAGAAAAAATTATGTGTTCCGTATGTCTGCCTGGAAGTTCATCGTTACATGTTGTCTATCCTTCAAAACAAGGTCGGAAATATTTCATATGCGAATATCATATACACGCTTATATTGTGATCGATAATGACAACAATATGAATGTCTGAAGAGAATAATCTATTTCTATCCAACTGATAATTTATACAGGCAAGAGGAATAATAATAACACATACACCCACACCCTCATGATGGACCAGATGTGGTCTTTGATTTAGTCTGTTGAATAGAATGGTGCACGTTTGTGTCGTTTTAATAATAATAGAATAAGTACAGTATCTATGCGTGGGTTCGCCGTCATTTAATTGATCTCTCTCTCTCTCTATATACACTATATATTCGATTAAATCACTTAAACATAAATGTTTTATTTTCTTTTTTTGATTCTTCACTATTGAAAATAAGGTTTTATTTTAAAGTGTGTAAGATTTCTATGTGTTGTTGTTAATGAGATGAACTTATATCGTTTTTTCCTTTTCTTTTTCTTCTTCTTCTTCTTCTTCTTCTTCTTCTCGGTGCCGTTTTGCGTCATTCGTTCAATAATATGTAATGATTTCTTGTTGACGTCACTGGTATAACTCCAACTAACGGAAGCAAACGAGAGACCTTGTTCGCTCGCCTTAGCGTATGTACGAATGTAAGCAAAATGCGATGATTTCTTTCTATTGATGCGCTTATACGTGACGTCGATTGTCCGTCGTGCGGTCGATGATGACGTCGTCATCTTCATAAGGCAAAAGGAATCAGCGTACAAAAGAAGATATATACATGCATGTTTAGCCTATATTCGAGTGCTGCAGCAATAGATTGTTTCCTCAACTAATAATCGTCACTGAAGAAAGAAAGAAGAAGAGAACTATGACGTCAAACTGGCGTATTCGTTGTCCCATGTAATAAAATCGTATCTTCATTTCATACAAAGTGCGTCCGAGCGACATACACGTTTTATATCATCTCATAGATCTTTGTTTGCCAATGTGTCTCGTCTCCAGTTAAATCTATTTGCTAAATTTTATTTTCTAGGGTGTTCAAATAGATCCCGATAGTACAGAGAAAGCTTATCTTCCATCAATAATAGCTTCGACGAATCTTGTCTCTCCTTTATCATCTATTTCAAAACCAATCGACACAATAACAACGGCGCCAAAATCTCGTTCCGGAACTGCTTCTATTGCGATGGTCGCATCATCGACAGTTATTCCTGCTAGTATGGAAACTAAACTATCACCATCATCATCATCATCAACAGCAACACTCGTATCACGTAAAAATTCGAACGCATCAACTTCAGATACTTTCTCTGAAACATCACGATCGTTCGGTCAAGAAGAAAATTCTTCTGATTCATTATTTGGTCGTCCAACACCATTGCCATCATCATCCCATTATGTTATTAAATGTAATGTAAATCCTAAAACATCACTATCGACATCTCCGATGCCATTAACACCACGTGTTAAAGTAACCGTACAACAACCGTCTATAACAGCGGCCCAGCCACGTTATGATTCGTCATCAGATAATGTTTCATCTCCATTAGTATATTTAAAAACTCCGAATTCGAACATGTTGCCTATCATGACAACGAGTGCACCCGAATTTTCTCTCAGTGGTGCATCGAGCGTTGATGATTCTGATGAACCAGCGTCCTATAATCAATATTTATCGCCATATGGAAGACAATCAAATCCTTCGCCTGAACTTCGTAAAAAGACATTTAATGATTGGGCGAAATCAAAACAAAGATCTTTAACACGTAGCAAAAGTGAAATAAATACAATACAAACAGAACAATCTCAACAACAAATAACTACTAGTCAAATAAAACCGGTTAGTAATCGTGTATAAATATTTTAATTTTGTTGTTCGCATTGAAATGATTAAATTTACATATTCATTTTTTCTCTTTTGAAGAAATAGTATATTCATTTTCTTTCCTCTCGAATAGATTTTTTGTCTTATGTTTTTATCGAAAAAATATAAATATTCAATATGTTTAGTTAAATAATACGAAGAAATATGAAAATAACAAAAAAATATATAAGAGAGCAAAAAAATCAACAGAATGATAATAATCATCACAAGCTATTATGTCGTTCTTTTCTATTTCAGTATTGCACACTTCTCGCATTTTATATTTACGAAATGTATCGATCGATTACATGTGTCAACTTCCTTGGAGACCTCTCACTGACTCTTCCCGCTATCTATTAACTAGACGCTCGTTTTCTTTTCCCTTACCGAATTTTTATCTAATCGTGCAACCCCCGTATAACTTTTTAATTCTCTTCACAGAAAGAAACGAGTGAGAGAGAGAGAGAGAGAGAGAGAGAGACAGGGAGACATAAACAGTGCGCTATGTCATTTGTAGTTTTTTTTCTCTTCTTTTTGCGTACACGAATGCTAACGTACCATCAGACTTCTACATTATAGTGGTACTTCTGTTCTTTTCTTTCGCCCTCGTCATCGTCGGCGTCGTCACGTTCTCATCGTCATTTTCATTTTCACACATTTACTCCGTGTACATCATATAAATGATCAGCAGTTGAAATTTGATTGATAGAATATTGTCGTCGCAGGTCGACGTTCATTTTCGGTTTGCCTGTTGTATATTTATGCCTTCTGTCTCTTACTGTGTGCTGGAAACACACTCTAATTTTCAAATGTCATCCGTCATACGTTTCTATCGAACACGTTCAGCAACAACGATCAATCAAATTAAGCCCTTTCAACGTTTACATTCATGTAGTCCTGACGATACAATACAAAAAAAGAAGGTAATACGATATATTACGATGACTTCATCTACAATCATCTAATGGATGCACTCTTCTTGTTCGTCTTCGTCTTCGTCTTTCTTTTTTCTCTCTCCTATTCTTGTTCTCATCTCATCATTGTCAGTTTTTCCTTATTAGTCTTGCAATTCAATCTACTTGCGAAATCTATAAGGATAGCACAACAAATGATAATAAGGCTTCTCATTCAACGAGGCTCGTCTTTTTTTTTTTGTTTTGTTTCTGTAACTACAACATTTATATTCTCTTTCTATAAACAAGAGTCCCTATTGAAAACGATAGACAATTAGAATCTTTTCTACGTGTTGTATTATTACGAAGTACATATTGATCTTTCTGCCGTATCAAAAGAAAAAGGCGGAAAACATAAATGAATTTATCTGGCTTTGGCAATGTTAAAGCAACAAGAACTTGCTTTTAAAACTCTAAGAGTATTGTTTTCTTTTTTTATTATTTTCTTAACAATATGGTTAGCATAGTAGAAATATTGTTTTCTTTGTATGGATTAGACTAAATATTTGTTTTTATTTCTTCAGGAAGCAACATCCTATGCTAGCGAAGACGAAGATGGTAATAGTCGCGTATCAGCTTCAAGTAATTCATCAGACATGACAAAAAAGAAAAAGTCAAAGGCCGCAACGATGTATGTCATGACACGCGCAATGGTTGATTTTTAATTAATTTACTTGTCTTCTTTCTTTGAAGTGCAAAAGATTTTAAATCTCGCGCAGCCAATTTAATCCGACGTCGAACTACTGAGGCAAATTTATCCGAGAAAAGCCTTATACCATCACGTGAAGATGTTCAATCGTGGGAACAATCCTTCGATGCTCTTCTACGGCATCGATGTAAGTTGTTTAAGAGAAAAAAGAATTAAAATTAATTAAAAATTAATTTAGACGGACAAGCTTTATTTCGTGCCTTCTTACGTACGGAATTTAGCGAAGAAAATTTAGAATTTTGGCTTGCATGTGATGAATTTCGTGTATGTAAAGAACCAAAACGATCAGCAAAAGCTAAAAAAATCTATATGGATTTTATTGCTATTGGTGCCCCGAAGCAGGTATGAAATTAGTTTTGCATCCGGAAAAATAGAACCTTGATAACAATCTATCATTATTTAAGGTGAATCTTGATACAGAAACACGAATGTCAACTATAGCAAACATCGACAATCCACCATTGGATACATTCGATCGAGCTCAACGACGTATTCAAGGTTTAATGGAAAAAGACTCTTATCAGCGTTTTCTTAAATCAGAACTTTATATTAATTTACTACGTCGTACATCATATCCAGCTCAACAACGACGAACAACAACTGAAATATCATCAAAATCATCTTGACCAAAATTATATAAATATAAATATATATACATATACATATATAAATCACCTGCTAGTTCAGGCTATCTTTCTTCCATCATTATTTATCGTATGACACTGGTTGTCAATCATTGAAACATTAAAATAGACATCGTCTGACTGTGGATTTATTTAGAACTATATATGTGTGTTTCTTACTCTTAAAAAAAAATCGAAAACAAAATAAGCCTCGATGGTTATTTCATTGTGAAAAAAAAACATAAGATTTTTTTCTATTATTATTTATGCATATGAAAACAGAGTAAGACGAGAGACCAATAGCAGAGAAGAAAAATATACGATTAATTGATTTAGTAAATAAGTATGATAAAAATTGACATACTTGAGATTCATATATATATATATATATATGAAAACATACGAGAGAAAGAAAATGAATATTTGCCGAGTCAATAAATGGAATTATGAGTTTAGTAAGTGAGGAATAGAAGAAATTTTATCAGTAATAAAATGACTTAATGGCTTCTTTCTTCTTGATAAACTATTTTCAGAAGCAAAAACAACAATATCTGTTTTTTTCTAATATACTACCTGTGAAATATCAAAAAAAAAAAAAGATTCGACAGGTCCATGGAAATGAGCGCTGACTTGCAAAACAGAGATATGAGTAATGATAACAAACAAAAAGTTGAGTTTAATTTTGACTTATATGGTTACAACTCTACTAAACAAGCCTATTTTAATTCATGGAGAATTTCGATGAAAAGAAAAATACGATGGAAATACTCTGCCTGACTTTTGATCATTGTCGATCATAAGAAGAAAAACGATCCTCTTCAATAATCAATAATGGTCGTTGAGATGCACTTTATTTTGTGTTTCATTTTTAGAAAGTTAATTATTGAGTTAAAAATAGATGGCAGCTCGATATAGAAAAGAGAACAATTGATCTAGAATATATTATTCATCGTATCGGAATTCAATGACTCTTATTTATATTTTGTTGCTGATCCTTCGAGTTTCCGACGCGACCATTTTAAAACTTTTTCCTACACAAGGGAAACCATCATTATTTAAAAACAAAAAAGAAGGAAAAATCTATCGATTTCCTTGCTATAGAAATTTTTTGTCATTGACGATGATGATAATAATGATGATTACTTTGTGCTATTGAGCAAAGAGAAGTGTTTCAAGAAAGTACGTGACATTTCTCGTTTCAAACTAGATTGAAATAGTTTATGCCTCGACGATCTCATAAGATAATGTTCTGCTTTCATTTTTTTTTCTTCTAAAAATGAAAGTAACGCTGAAAACCTCATATTATGCTACACTTATCCATGTACGTAAGATCAAATAGCTCAACAACAACAAAATAAGTGTTATTAAAATCTAATAATTTATTTGGTCACACCTTCGCATCAAAGAAGGAAAAAGTGCTGAAAATAGAATTTCCTTTTATCTCTCAGTCATTAAGTTTATCGAGTTACTTTTAGCTGACTCTATGATTAATTGTTTGTCATGAAAAAATTAAATTGAAGCTATTATTAGAGTTTTTTGCTTTTGAATAATTACGACAAACAACTTTTATAGAAAAATATATCGTGTAATTCTATTCGTTCGAACTTTATTTTTATCCTACGCATTATTAAGCTTTCTGTTTGTGAAATAGCCCATAGAATTTGCTTGTTTTATTCATATTTCTTATTTATTCGATGTGTGCATTGAGTATTGAATAGACCATGTGTCTGCGATGATAATCAATCAATCAATGGCGCATCCTGTACGGATAATAATAATAATAATATATGCTCAACGTGATTCATTCAAACTTCTAAAAATCATATTTTATATATTTTCTTATACAAATATGTTGTTACGATTTGTCACATCAAGTTTTATTCATTCACCATTGACTTTTGTTAGAGTGTTTTCCCATTATTCTGTCGGTAGAGTTCGCTCTCTGCTGGAATACATTTGAATTGGCTATTCCAGTGCACCATTTAAAATAATATGTCAATCCAGCTATTTAGTATAGTTGTTTTTCGGCTCATATTCCTTTCCTTTATAGAAATACAGTTACGTCTTCCATTGATTCAATCGTTCCAAGAGAAATTCATATGTTAAACATATCAATAAGGCAAATTTTTAAATCATAAAATGGACAAGACTTCACGACTAGTAACATTCCCTATTGGCTTTAATGAATCATTTAATTTAACAGATCCAATTCTAAATCCAACAACACCATCAACATTAGAAGTTATATCAAATGAGATTATTGACTATTTTGAAACACATCGTGAACAAATCCCATTACTTGTTATTGTATATTTGTTAACAATAATATGGATAATTTATCTAATACTATATCATTCACGTATACAAGGCATTATTCTATCTTATATATTACGAAGATTCTTTTTTAAAGATGCAACACAAATAAAATTTGATTCATTTTCAATATCGTTTATATCGGGAGCAATTATGTTTAGAAATTTACATTATACAACAGGAAGTTATTTTGTTTTTGTTAAAGACGGTTGTCTAGTTTTTCGTTATTGGTCAAAAACAAAAGCGAAGCCGATTGTACGATTAAAAATTAAATTGAATCATCTTGATATACAATTCTTCAGTCCTATACGTTCCAGTACATTATCCGATAGTAATAATAATAATAATAATAATAATTTAACCGATGATGTACAGCGAGGTTCTATGAATGGGTATGAAAATGATTGACTTTTTTAATTGAATTTCTTTTTCTTTTTCTCTAATAAAGAATTTCAACCAAAGGTGATGATACACAAAGTGTAAATACGATAAAAAGTAGCGAAGATGGCCTATTCGTTACACGTCTTCGAAATCTTTTTCCAGCGATTGAAATTAAAGTTGAACATGTAAGTTTAGATTGTTCGTTTTTTTTCTTCTGTTTTCAAAATATGATCTATTTCTATAACAAAAGGGTCGAATATCAGCTGGACATGATACATTACCGTATGGTTTATTAGTTCGTTTTAGTACAATGACTAGTACATTTACAAGTGAATCGCCATCGAGAAATCCATCGTTAATCGATTTAATGACACTTACGTATCATTTAAAATATCGTAATCTTCGTATTCAACTCTATCCAATTCGAGTCTATCAGGGTGAAGCTCGTGAAATGTAAGAAAAAAATATTTTTTTCAACTCACCTGAGAATTCTTCTCTAGTATTTTCATATGAATATTACATACGCTTATAGTAAGAACACTCAAATGATTTGAGTATTTAATAACGTATTAAAATGAGATATTCAATTTCGTTTGAGAACTAATTTTTCGTTGCTATCAAATCGGAAAAAAATCTACCATTGTTGCTCTCTTAGTCCACCGCCGATACTAACCTCGAAACCAGCTGACAGTGGTATATTTCAAGTATTTGAATGTCTCGATGGTGAACTCGAATATGAACAAGACGTTCCAGGTAAAATCAGTGAATTACCGGAAAATAGTGAACCGTTACCTGAGCTAACATGGGAATTTCGAATCCGATGTAATAAAGAAGCTAAGGTTGCCTACGGACCATGGGTTGATAGGCAAAGGTAAACGAATGAAAATATTCAATTTGATAATCAATTTAAAATTCTAGAGAGGCATTGTGGCAATATTTTTTTCCAACACTACTAGAAGATTGTCCGGTAACGCCTGAACCAACAGTAGGGCAAACGCGAATATTTAAAACTGTACGCTTCAAATTATGGCTTGCATGTCCTACTGTTATAGATCTTTATTTTATGGCTAAAATGGTTTCGTATTCTGACTGTTTTCTTCTGTGCTGGTAAAATAATTTTTGTGTTTCATTTTCTTACAGAAACTCAATCAAATACATGCTGAATTACCCGTACACGGTTCCTATTTTGAAGCATCATTTCCATTCTCAACTAATCCGAATGGTTTCGATACATCCTTATTTATGAATATTAAACAGCCCATCGTTCGTACAAATCTTTCATATACACAGCTATGTAAAGCTGATGAAATCGATGTAAGTAACAGAAATCATCTACGCAATTCATAACCAATCACTCGTATGAGACAGTTTTCAAGGTCTCAACAAAACACATTTACGCACGAGCAATGAGTGTCACGCTGACAAAACATTCTTCTCTCTGGATACATTTAATAGACTAATATATTTCCGATAAATTTAACTTTGAAAAATAAACAGTACTATGAGCTATTTAAATAACATATTATTGCACGAGTGATCCAAAAGAACTAATGATTCGGAGAGAGATACATTTTAAGCAATTCAGCCACGAGTTTTTTTTTCTATTAAGATTAATGTTCATATACATTATCCTCGTATGTGGAATTCCATTCAAATATGGACTATTGATCTTATCGCAAAAAAGCCTCAAGTTTATTTTGTATTCGAACATAAATGTTTTTTCCAAGGTAAATAAAAAGATTATTTTATTACGATTTAACAAAATGAATATATTTTTACTATTGAAGCTTTGCTCAATGATTGGTCGTCGTCGGTGCCACCCGATATATATTCATTTGCACCATTTATCTATGATATGACTGTAAAAGGTGACCACTTAGAACTTTTAATTCCATGTAATCAGGGCAATTGGATTGATTGTACCAATGGTATTGGTCGATCACCACAGCAACAACCGTCTCAACCGGCGGAAAACAGTAAAAAAAACATAAATAAGCATTTTTTCATTTGATTCTATTTATTTATTTTTCCCTCTAGATTATATATCAGTGTGTGCTAAGTCATTTTCATTGACATATCCGTTACCATTTGTGGAATTTTGTCCAACAGTTACACCAATGGATATAACAATTGATGTTTGTTGATTTGAAATAAAAAGATCGATTCTTTATTATTTCTATTTTTTTGCATTAGGTCAATGATGTTCTAGCGCGTCTTGTGATACCAGAGAGTAATCGAATGTATTATATTTTAGAAGGAATTGATTCTCATAAACGAATTTATACACCCAACGGAGTCAAATCTCAATTGAGTTTATCCGATGAATTCGAGAAACGGTAAATATACATTCTTTAAAATTATGATAGTAATTTTTTTGCATTGCGTAAAAAATAAATTATCAATTTGTAATAAATCACGAGTGAAGCTTTTGCGTTCTATTCTTGATTAGTGATTCACTACATTTTGGGATGTCATTTTACTTATATAGCCACTCTGCTTTATTCAGTCAAATATTCTGTTGTTTTAAGTGAATAAATAAATATTAGATTAGTTTTCTCTAACGTCAAAGAAGTTGTCGGAACTAAAATTTAATCCCAAGAGTCAATAATCTCTAACAAGAATATATTTTATTGGTGTTAGAGAAAAATTATTAACGTTAATTATCACACTCGTATTAAATTATTCTATTCATGTTCCGGAAAATTCTCTGAGGTGTTTAAAATTCGAGAACGTTCAGTAGAACTCAGCTATCAGCTGTTCCACATGTAATGAAATCCGTACAACTTCTAATAAATTCTTTTTTTTTACTTAATTTTCAAGTGATGGTTGCTTTGATTGTGGTGAAGTTCCTAACATAAAACTTCTTATTCAAATTCTTCTTCATCCTTCACCGCCCATAGGCACAAATAGATCTGGTAAAAATCTAACAACTAAATTTCATATAGAATATCGTCGTCTATTTTCTTTTTGCACAGATCTTTTATATATTCAACATGTTAAGTCATTAGGTAATCGTCAAACATTTCATCCAAATAAATTAGATTATGATTTGTTTAATATCGAAATTGATATTGGTCCCGTTAATTTATTTCTACACGGGTTATTTTTAAAGAAGCTATGGTGGGTAAAAGTAAGTACTATCTTTGTTATGACTCATTTGAATCATCATTTTTCTTCATCCTAAGGAAAATTTATTTGGTTGGGATCAAATGTATCATGATACTCGCGAACCGGAATTAATACGTGAAAAGAAAATTATCGTACACGATGACCCACTAGTTGATATTATCGATGAAAATCATCCATTTGATCCAAGATATTTTCGGCCATTAAAAGCCACTCTACGCGTCGCATTGCATAATATAACAGCACATCTTGTTCATGTAAATTGAAATTTTTGTTCCCTTTGGAAAAAAAAAGAATTTGATATTTTCCTTTTTAGCATACTGATAATGAGCCTTGTCCGATGGCTTTTTGTGAACGACTTTGCTTCGAAATGACAACAGATCTGGACGAAACACGATTGCAATTACTTATTCTACCTGTTAATGTCTATGTCGAAGATACAATTGTCGTAAGTAGACAAACAAAATTGATTGTATCTAGAAAAGGATTTCTTGAAGAATCATATTTCCTATCGATAAAATTCCGAACACTTCCAAGATGTACTTCGAACTATTGTCTGATTCTTTTTTATTCTAGCGAAATAAATCAGATCAACATTTAGCCACGGGTTGTCTTCAACTATCTGGTTTAGTTATTCGTGGTCATGCCATGCTTTCACATGAAGGTTTACCACCGGAACGTGAAACTCTTGAGTACGCATGGCAAATGGAAATTATCGTTGGTAAAATTTCCGCTCGTGTCACATCGATTCAAGTAATTAGAAAACAAAAGAATCTTTTTTCTGCAATCATACTTTTTTCTATTAGGTAGAGAAATTGATTGGCTTTCTAAAAAATTTCTATTTACAAATCATGGAAGATGAATATACTCTTGTACGTTCGCCTGTTATCGATAAAGCCAAATGGATTGAAAAACTCAAATACGATGTTCTGCGATTCAGTTTGGACTCAGTTGATCTTAACCTAGTGGAAGTCGGTAATTCTCTTAACGTACAGGTTGCACCAGTTCGTCTATGCATGTGCAATATGCACACATCATCTTGCAATGAAAGTTTAACAATAAAAGTCGGCACAATACAAATTCGGCAATTATTACGTTTATATCCTGGGTCGTGGCTCGAAGCCGGTTCTGTTTACATTCCGGAGCTACGTATAAACGCAAAATTCGAATGTCATCCACCGACAGTCGCCAATGTAAATGAACAATTAGAATTTCTTCGTCGGCACGATCAACATTCTCAACGACTTCATTTTCTTTACAATATAAAACCACAGCAAACATTAAATGTTCTAGCAACGTCTTTGAATTTAAAACGCCCATCAAATGTTGGCTTAGTAACAAATTCAAATGCATCATCATGCGCATGTCTCGGCGGTTCGCCCAACTATTATACACTTGTGCAAGGTGAACAGTTTTTTAAAAGTACATTTCGCCTCAGTGAACAACCGTCCTTTGGACGTTCTTTATTTCAACCTGATGTACATGTTCTACAATCACATTCGATATTCGAACATAAATATAATTGGGATAATTATGAACATACAGTTATTCCGAATGAGGAACTAGATGATGAAGAAATATTCTATCCATTTGATTTCTGTGCACAACCAAAACAATCCGATGAACGACACGATCATGGAAATGATAATGAATTACGTCACAGTGTACCAATAGATATGTATTCTTTATCGCGAACGAATTCAGCTCGAAATATAAGAACGAAACCGACTGTTGATCGAAATGATTATAAACGGTCATCGTCATCGATACCATTTCGTCATACTGTAGATTCAATATCATCAACAGCGGCAACAAGCGACGATTATTTAACACCAAAAGAACATCTATCAATGAATAGTTCGAGCCAATCGAGTTTAAATTCAGCATTAAATAATACAAGTAATATACTGGAATCATCGTCGCTATCATCACTGACTCTTCTACAACATCAATCATCGACTAGATCGTCATTAGCACAGTCAACTTTTAATTTATCAAATTTAATGGAAAATAAAACTCTTTTAACAAATTCATCACGTTCATCATCATCGGATTCTTTAACAGCGCTAGAAGAAATTCTTCAACGACAACAAGCAAGATATGGTTCAACAGTTTTATCTCAAAATGTAAATTGAATCTGAATGAATTTCATCCGGATATTTCGAAATATCGGATAAATTTACTTTGAGGAGTATAGATGGATGTAAAATCAGCCTCGCACATCTCTATTCAGGATAATTTATGACTTGATTACTCAAATATGAAGAGTCCAAAGCTTATAATTGAAATATATATTGATAACTATAAAATTCTTTCGTTTAGGGCGTTGCATCTTCCATGGAACATAGTTCTATACCGCAACCATATTTACCATGTTCGTCATGGATTAGTTTACGGAATCAAATGAAAATGCCAATACCTAAATCTACTCTTCTATGTACTACATATATTCGCTATTTATCTCATTATCGTTCTTCGACATGGTCCAATGTAGCATCATTTCCACCAAATATTCAACAAACTCAAGTTGATTCTCTTCCAATTCTTGATTTCAATTGCGTATCTCAAGGTTTTTCATGTTCATTTCTGTCGGAAATCTCGCCGTCAGCATCCGTATCGTCATTTATCCCTCTATCGTCCAGGCAGCAGCAGCAGCAGCAACAGCAGCAACAGCAGCAACAACAACAACAGCAGCAGCAGCAGCAGCAGCAGCAGCAACAACAACAACAACAACAGCAACAACAGCAGCAGCAACAACAACAGCNCAACAACAACAGCAACCACAACAACAGCAACAACAACCACAACAAACGTCATCTACGACAGTTAATAATCGGCCACGGCTACCGATTGCTCCTACCACATCTCCAGTAGGCTCATCAAATATAATTGCAACAGAAAAATATGTATCGGCATAACCAGCGTTACGGAATTTCAGTTTTTCTACTTTATAACATTCATATCATGTCGACGGTATGCGTAAATTGTTTGAAAGTTTTACCATAGATGGAGACTGTTTAGTACTATTACCGGTATAAATCTCATTGAGTGTTCTTTAACCAATGAGCAGTACTTGGAAAAAATATCGACCGTTACGGAATTTCAAAAATGGAAGCATATTTATAGGTAGTGTGAGAGTTTAGCGTTTTGCTACGAAACTCAGCGACAAACGCAATAGACGTTCTATATGAAAGATGTTCGACTTCGATCAAGCTTTCGAAGTGTCAGGTCGTAGTCGTCAAATGTACAGTGGTGTGGAATAAAAATATCAAAAATACTTCGTTACGGAATTTCAATTGTTACGGAATTTCGTCACTTTTTTGGCGTTTCTTTGGGGAAGGTTTGTGAACTGACTATTTGACATTGCCGAAACAAAACATTTCATTTTTTTGACTTGTGATAAATAGAGAGGCGTGACTGTTTGTTCAATCATTTCAGCTTTATTATCATAACAAAGTAACAATGAAACGAAATAATAACTACGATAGATATTTCACGTATGAAGTATAGCAATAAAAAAAAGAAAAATTATCAAAAGTGAAAAACTGTTTTTTCAGTACTGTTTGAATAGACTTTACATTCAATTTCATTAGTTTTTAACACAGTCATTGAGTGAAGTTTCTGAATATTAGGCACAGCCTTGACATTTTCAAATAAGAGTTTAAGATTTTTAACAGCATCTTCAATATCAGATGTCGATAATTCTTCAATAATAATGGGCGTATTTCTTGCTTGAATCAAACATGTAAAATCATTAGCATTTGTACATCTTTTTCCGGACATTACATCTTGATAGATCATTCTCTTTACGCTTCCACCGATACCATCTACGACACTAGAGACGCTAACTTAGGAATGACAAATATTTTTCGCGTTGTACTTTCTCACTGCAATTCATGACTAATGGGTTATTGTTTCGAACAGTTTCCTTTTTGAAATATTACACTTTTTTATAATACTATTAAAATACTACTCACCTTTACCGTGACTACTTGCAAAAAAATTCCATGATAAATTTAATTTAAATTTATCGGCTAAAAACGATACATTTTTAAATAAAAATCGTTGCTTGAATTGGCTGGCACTACCATCACTGAAAATAACTAATTCTTGTAGCGATGGTATCAATATTTGTATACGTGTAAGAATACGTTCAAGACATGTTGCAACTGTATATTTATCATGAGATATATTGTTCGACACAATAACAAGAGGATAAGTGGTAGAGTTGGCCCATATATGAGCGGTGAATAATGATAGTTGTTTTCGTGACCAGTGGGCACTTTGAATTTGTTTTCGTTTCCGATCTTTTTCTTTCATAATCTCTCCCAATCCTGCTTTCTTCTTTTTTTCTCGACAAAGTCGAGCTCTTTCTGCACCCGAAAGAACCATTTAGAGAAAACAAATATTTACTACGTGGGTGACAAATATTCAATCTAAAGTTTAACTGGTTAATACATTTTTAGAAAATAATGCCTTCTCTCTTCAAAAAAACAACGATACGATGAGCTGTAAAAGTAAAAAGTTCGTTAGGTCTATCATAAAATTCATGCACTGAAGTAATATGAATAAGTTTTATTATCATAAAATTTAAAAAATATAAATTCATGTACACATATGATCAATAGATTTTTAATTGTTGAAATTCCGTAACGTAGTATTTTTTTAAAAAGTACACAAAAACAAAAGCAAAGTTGGCAAAAAACTAATGCATTAAATAGGTCTTTTTAACAGGTACCTAACTGTGAAAGTTCTAAATTAATAATTTGTATTGTGTCCGAATACTATATATTATACACTGTTTTTGTTACGGAATTTCATGAAAAATGGATACAGTTTGCAAAAGTCTTTAAAATCTATAGGATAATTGAAATATTTTGTGAAACATATATTTTGAAAGAACATGCCAAGTTGCTTCAACAGTTGCCAAATTTGAACTAATCAAATAATTTTATCAGTACGTAGAACGATTTATTTAGAGTGACTCAACCAACGTGTTTTCTTAGCATTTCATTGGTTAAGATAATCTACATACACTTGAAGCTACATACACGAAATCGCCATTGAACCGAATGACATACCTCCTCTGAATAATGAATGAAGCATTTACCAGAGGTCGCTAGTCATCGTCGTGCGTTTGAATATTTTTATTTCGCCGTAGACTATTTGATATATTAGAAACTTCGTTTTATATAGATTTGAGAAAAAATACAAATACTTATGCATCAAAATCTTCAAATAGCTTCTGCTTATGTTAGACTCTAATGAAGTTTGTTTGAAATTCATAATGCTAAATATTGTGCTAAGAGATCAATTGATGATACAGATAATTTCTTTTTAATCAGATGCATAAAAAATAATCACAAAAAGAAAAAATAATCGCAAAAAGAAAAAATAATCACAAAAAGAAAAATAATCAACAAGAAAAGTCTTACAAAAGCGTACAAAAATAACACAAATAAATGGTTGGAAAACACCAGAAAAGAAACATCTAGATTAAATTTCAAAAATAAGAAAACCCAGTGATGAAAGTTTGGGTTTCATATCAGAGTACAAAAAATAATATTTACGGTTCCATAATGAGTTATTAGATAAAAGATTTGATTGTAGAATAAATAGTTACAATATTCATTGAGGAACAATTTTCAATGATCGAATTGATCCTACTATTAATTTCTATTTGAGAATCAATGAAAGAAAAAAATTTAGTTGACATAGAATTAATTGTTATTTTACTTACATTAGTACATTTATTCAAGACACGTACTGGTATCGGTTGATTGAATTGAATCGAAGTAGATGTTGAAACTGCTATTGCCTAAACAAAAGTAAAAACAATATTGTCATTCATTTGATGTTATGTTTCCAGTGATTGTTTCATTCCTCTACATGAGACTTTACTTCATACGAAAAACATGCATGAAATGAAAGTCTGATTTCAAATACTTTACATATTGGTATTATCTCTTTATAATGAACCAAAAAGTTATGTCCATCTTTGTGAATTACAAATAGGTTTATTGAATAAAACCGAAATGAAGTGTGTCTGTAATCTGCGATTTTTTTCATGTATAGCTAAAGTTGGTTATTTGTCTTTGGGATGGGATGTGATGGATCAAATGCGTCAGTAGTTAAAATTAGTGAAAGTATTTGTATCTTACACTGTATAGCAAACTTAGCACGAAGATATTTTTATTTTAGGAATAGTTGATATTTGATAATGTGTCAATTCAGTTAAATAATCTCATTCGAGGAGATAAATATGAAAATTTTCTGTTTAGCCAGAAAGCTTGCTTACAAAATTCAAAATAAATTAAAGAATAAACTTTTATTATTTGATGACGTTGAAACAGGTGTTTAAAAGAAAATAGAGATTCCTATATTATGAACAATTTATTCATTCAGTATTGCTAGAAGTTTACTGAGACGCTAAATTTTTCTCAAATCAGTAATATAAATTTCAAACAGTTATTATTTTTAAACTGTTTGTGTATATAAAATACAATATCTTTGACAAATTAATCTAGGCAATTAAGAGCATGTCGCTAGATTGATGAATATGACAAATATAGGGAAGTTATCAATTATTCTTCCCTTGTATCTTTTGTAGTTTTTCGATGGACGAAATACTTCTTTCATTTATCTCTTGTCTAAAGACTTGAAATTTCAAACCTGTTGAGAAATTGAAATTTTTGGTGTACATAGCAAACTCGCATTGTTCTCGTCGATGTTATTGGTATTTGTAGCAAGCTAAAAACACATGAAAAAGAATTTATATATAGGCGATTGCATATAAAAAGTTTGTGTTCGAGGTTCGAATACGTTCAAGTATAATTAATCTACTATTAGCAAAAAGTTTTGCTAGTTTCTCACCATTACCAATTAATGTATTCATGCCACTAATTTTCCACCTTTGTTTGATTTTTGTTGCCAAAACCAATTTATTATTAACGTCAGAAACCACCGATAAGAAAGCTACTATGTCGTAGACACTTGACGATGCACATCCTATATACGAATCATCCAAAAATGGATAAAAGCATACAGCAGGCGGAGGTTTAGATGACAAATTTGTTGAATTTTTAATATCATTAACTTTTAAAATTATAACCGGTGGACCTAAAACATTAATTTTTATATAAATTAGAAGATTCCGACTTACTAAATCTTTCATGCAGAATATATATTAGGAGACGCCCTTGAGTCTGACAAATGAAATGGAAAAGATATAGTATAGAGGACCCACCTCTCTCTAATCGTAATAAGACCGATGATTATGAATTAAAATTAGAAAGTATCCATGACAGTTCGAAAATGTAAATCTTTTCAGAAGCACAATAGAAAAATTCCTTTTTAATATAGATACAAAAATATATACTAGACAATTCCGTGCATTCTAATATATCAAATAATATCCAGCCGAGTTTATTTTTGATAGAATACGCTAAAAATAGTTAGTTCATAGTGTGAAGTTCATCTGTGTAATCACTTTTCTCAAGTAAAACCTAGCAAACTATACATTTTCTTACAATCAGAAATTTTGATTTGTCTCGACATCAACATAGAACATTTATCACATATATGATCAGATGCATTGTTAGCAAAATAATTTGCTAACTGTTGATTAAAACGAAATTGATTTTCAACCATACTAATTTCAATATAACTTATGTTAAATCTTGTATTAACAGTATGCTTACAAGATGTACAACGATAATTTTTTTTAACCGATATTGAATAAGAAATGATCGGAAGAAGAATGTTATGAATAATAAACGACAGTTGTTCACTCGTATCGATTGGAACATTGACAGTTATGTTGAATTGGGTGTTCAATAATTTGTTTAGTTCAGTGCTGGTTTTTTTAGGTGGCTTAAGACGATTACAGCCCGATATCCAGTTGTTAATGAAAGAAAGTATATCGACAAGTAAAGGCGTTTTCATCAGTGTTGGTCGATATGTTTCACGAACAAATTTAATTGATAGTAAAAGTCCAATCGATATATTAAGCCAATATGCAACAGACAGATGTGGTATAAGAAGAGCATCATTAATGTTTGATGAAGAAATAATTAAAGAATTTTTTAAATTATTCATGATTGATGTTTCTGGTGTTTTAGCATAGTGTCCATGACCACGTCGATTAGATTGTCTCCACCGTTCTTGTACATTTTTTAATTGCTGAGAATTTGTTTCATTATCAGTATCTTGAAACATGGTAGCCATAAGTGATATTGAAAACTTCTCAACCATTTTCTTCATATCATTAACAAGAATTTCTAATATAACATCAGATCTACACCGAGTCTGTATTCCTATAAAAGAAATAAAATACATCTTATGATCAGTTTTTGATTTCAATATAAAACATTTATTACCAAGTTGTGTTCTCTTTACAATTGACATTCGTCTTTCTGATATTGCATTAGTACGTTGATTATGAGTAGATAGAAGTAAATTATCGAAGGCGCGAACAGTGGATGCACCGTGCCGTGATAGATTTCCTGAAATTATGAATTTTATCATTAGGTTTCTATCAGCTAACAATTAAATATAATCACCAAGTAAAATATTTGACCAGATAGGAATCGTTGGAATGCACCGTTGATTGATATATGATAACCATTGTCGAGTACCTTTCGATGCTTTGTCAGATGACGAAAAAGCACCATTGTTCTTTATACAAGTTGTTAAACATTCATTATAAATAGCTTGCAACTCTTGTTTGAACGGACTATCGGCTTTATTTAATTCTTCTTCTTCATCAATAATCTAGACAAATAAAGAATAAACTCTTGTAAACTATTCTTCGAAAAATATCTACAGATTCCAAAGGACTTCTTAAAACTAAATAGTAACATCAGATAAATAAAAAGAGATTCACACTTAAGACTTTATAACTTCAAGTGAATTCAATGTTTCGAACAGATTCAAAACGTTTGTAAAGCTAGATATATGCAAGAATAATTTAGAAAAACTGCAGCTAAAGCATATCTATAAACTTTATGTAACTATACTTCGTTAAATAATAAATATGATAATAAAAGTCTCGAATATCAATCATTGCCATATGACAAGTATACCAATTTCTGTTTAGGTCTATGTTCTGAAAACTGTTCTATATTTCAGTACATTTAACTACTCTATTTTTCTTCGGAAAAAAATTATATCACGATATTTGTGCTATTTACCGATTTATTAATATTTGATGAATTCAAGTGAGACGTAGTCGATCTTTTTCTTTTGTTATTAGTTTTAATATTTTCATTTGTATTCATTGTATTATGATCATAATCATCAAGTTCATTATCATCATCGAATGCAAATGGATCATTGATATTCGTACGTATTTCTTTTGATTGATGGATTGCTCGTGATGAATTTGGATCATTTGTTATATTACTAATACGAGAAAGTAGTGTTGCATGATGTTGTTTGAAATTAATGTTATCATTTGAAGCATAGTTAAAAAAAACTTGACAAATTAAACGCCAATTATCTTTAATTTCTCGCCATGTACTTGTATTAACAAGTAGCGCGATTGCCCACATTGCAATCTCACGAACATCTTCAGGTAAATATTTATTAACACGTTTGCGCATATCCTACAACATTCAATAATCAGTAAAATAAAAATCTAATTAAAAAAAAAGAGTATTTTCTTACCAACATGAAATGAGATAAACATGCATGAATATTTGTTTTGGATAAGTCATTTCGAATTGCTGCATTAGTAACAATACGATAAGCACGTGCAAGAAATGCTGAATAATTTTCATCATTCAAGCCATATAAAGCAGCTTGAAGAAAGACCTGTGCACGATCCGACAAAATTATCGCTGGTCTAGGAAATGAATCTTTCTTGTGAGGAAATACCTGAACAAAATTTTAAAAAATTAAGAAAAACAAGAATGGAACATCAAGATATTAATAATGAATTTCCGTGGATATTTTTATGCCATAGCAACTGAGTGACTATATCTATCATATTCTAGTTCTAAAATTTTCAACAATAAAGTATTATCAAAAATATTATCATTTCTAATCTATTATTCGAGATATCACATTCAACAATCTTTGAAGATGAAGAATGATTATCGATTATTTTTTTAACTTTCTCATTTTTAATACTTCTTATTCTATACTAATCTAGTATATATGCATCACTGATATGTCAATTGTTGTATCGACTCAACGACAATAGTAGTAGCTGATAGGATTACAGAAAGTATCTATTTAAACACTAAAAAACAGTACATTTACCTTTCTGTAGCATTCTTTGAATGCTGATAACCATTGTTTAACAGTAAAAAGTGTTTGAGATTCGGATAACATAAATGTTAATGGCACTAAGCTATCTTCATCGACTATATTCGGATGTGTTATCGTTAACTCATAATATAAACATTGTTTAGATGATGAGTTCTTAACAATACCACCAGTAGCATCCCATGAAAGAACAGATTCTGGACGATTTACAATAGAATCATATAATCTAATTGAGGCTTCAGTAAAAGCAACAACACAAAATGGTCGAAATTGAACAATTTGAAGCGCACCTTTGATTATTCCGTCACTATTCATTTCTTGAGCTAATTTATCATGTAATTGTAAGATTCCTAAACTAATGTCTGGTGATAGTAAAGATTCAGCATTTGCTTCAGCTTTTATTTTTTTAAATACTTTTTTCGACTTGCCAGTTGCATCATAATTAAAACCTTTTTTTTCATGTATTGTTCTTTTTTCCTCATATTGAGCATGAACGCGATAAACAGAACCACCAGCTTTAAATTTATCCATTATTGCTCGTCGTTGAGAACCACGAATTGGACGACCAATTTTTTCATTGACACGATGACAAATTTTTCGATTTATTGCAATAACGAAGCAATAACCATTATTTAAAACATGAACTTTGCACTTGAAGTGGCAAACATGGCCACTACATTTTAGAGTGCATCTATGAAGAAGAGCCGTTGGCTGTGATATATTTTTTCCGAAATAACGTGTGCAGATGCACATACCACAATATGCATTGTAGTGTTTTAAATGAGGTAAGAGTGTATTGAGATACTCAATATTCACCTTGTTAATTATTTTAGCATTTTGATCTTTTTTATAACATTCATCAGCATTTACATCATTAAGTGTTGTGGATGCGTGTCCACTTTTCGACTTCTTTTTCAGCAATGCTGATAAATCCGATGTTAAACCCAACATATTCATTTTTTTATCAGATTTTTTCTTTAATTCTTCTTGTCGATATTGATTCATTTTTAAAAGTTCAGTTTCATTTAAACGAAAGTGATGTGTTTGTGAAAGCGTTGCTTCAAATACTTGTTCAATTCGAACACCTGCTGCCACTGAAGCTAATTTCTTACAAGTTTCTAATAGAAAAATAAAAATTATTGTGTATATAATATAGTACTTGAAGTTTTCTTGAAAATTGAGTAAGCTTATCAGTAGTTAACTAAGAGAGAAATTACAATCATATTGGCGAATGCGTTTATTTTTCATCATAACGATATCTTTGTGTGGAAATTCACGTTATTGCTACATTTATTTTGGGATAATTATCGATCCAATTAAATAAGCTATTATTCAGGCTAATAAATCAACGTTGATAAATGATATCCAAGGGGTTTATGCTTAGCTATTAATTATACTTCATATAGTAATTAAATGATTATCTCTAAGATATTAAGAGAGAGAGAGAGAGAGAGAGAGAGTAAAGAAGTTTGCTAACGGAATAGCCAAACCCAATTACTCATTGGTATATCTATAAAAAATTATTTTAAGACGAGTTAAGAATGGTGAGCAACACGGAAATCATGATAATATATGCATTCATTTGACGTACCCATTCGTGTTTCTTCACCATCAGACACTTCAGCTATAGAATCATCACTCGATTCATTTGAAATAAATGAAAGTTCTTTAGAAGATATTGATGGATGTAGTACTTTTAAAGTAGAAGAACAATGCAAATAATATAAATAAATTCAATAACATTGGACCATCATTCATACCTTTATTTGATACATGATAAAAATTCTTTCGATTTTCTTCGATTCGATCAATTGAACATTGATTACCGATTGTTATACTACTTTCTGTTTGCCCAAGAATAGGTTCATTATTTAAAATGGTATTTTTTCTTGAGCTAACTACTGACATGGTATTTTTTAACTTTGATCGAACCTTATTTTGAAATTCTTCTACAATAGAAAAAATAAACATAAATAAATTTCAACTGAAAAGAGCCCAACCATCCTCAAATGGTATCATTGTCATCATATCAATCAAAGAATTGTTCCTGGATAGCTGTTCGTTCAGTAATGTAATTGATGTATTTATAGGTGTTGAATGTGCTGGAACCTAAAAGAAACTATTTGATGGCCAGGCATATGGTAAAATTATATTCATACGGAAGAATTTAAAAAAGGAGAATTCAAAACGATGTTATTTTCTGGTGTTGAAGGCATTAATGTTTGTGGTATTTGTTGAAATGATTCATTCATTGGTATGGACGTAGGACATACTTTCGCATAAAATAGCATAAAAGCTTCTGGATGATTTAAAACTTCATTTGATGATACATGTTGACAGTGTGCATCATCAACTAGAAACCAACGGTTGCCAGATGACCGAATATACGAGTAATAGTGGCCACTATTAAGATTATCACCAATATGATTGATGACGGCGTACAATTTGTATAAATTATTAGTTGATGAATTTATATTTTGACTTTTATCGTTTGCGGTAAATAAATCCGATGTCATATACGAAGTAACATTTAACAACTCATTATAATTTACTTTATGCAAAAGTTTGTCAATTGAATCAAATGTAGCAGTAAAACGTTTGAAATTGATAATTAATATTGGTGATAATTCATTAATAGTAATACGTTTATCAAGTGTTACAAATTTGTTACAATTACTACATTTAAAGTTATTTATTTCTTCTCGGTTAACGAAATGTGCAAGAGCATCCGTCAAATGGTTGTAATTATTTATTTCAATTAATAACATACTAGTAATTTCTTCTTTTTTAAAAGTGTACATACACGCCTGACATTTTCCAGATGATAGAAGTTTTATATTAAATATTTGATCAATAATTGTCGGTTTCATAGGAAGAGTAGATGGTATTGATAAATGTGACGATAAACAACAATTAAAATGATCTAACAATGTAATCATAAATTCGCACACATCTTCTTGTTCTCCCACATTAAATATACGTGATATTAGATGTACATGAGTTCTGATGGAGTCGGCTGATGGAATAGTGACGCAACTCGATTCAGTAGATTTGTTTCTTGGTGGTGGATGAATTAACAAGATGATTTTTGTTAATTCACAGATAGAACAAAATTTTCTTTCACTTGATAATCTACCTAAAATTAAAAAATAACTAAATTTTATAAATATGATTATTTATTTGAAACTGTATATATTGTATTTTGAGTTTCATTGAGATGCTTATTGAAAATTATTTCTTAGTAATAGATGGTACTCACATGTATTTAAGTTATCAACTTGTTCAAATAACCATTCGGTCAATGGAGGTGTGCTTCCCAAACATTGTAAAGCTGCATTAATATAGCAGGTTTTATTATCTTGGTTTCTTAAACCAATCATTCGGTTTCGTAACGAATTCCAGTTCATTGTTGGCTTATTACTAAAAACATTAGGATGCTTTGAATTAACAAGAAGACAATCAGAATTATTTTGCAGATCAGATGGTTTTTCTAATGGTGTTGTATCAAATATATCCCTTGGAAATTCATCAATAATACTTGTTATTCCTAAACAAAGCAAAACTAGAAATATATCAATAAAGTAGTTTTAGCTTGCTCTCACGTTTTTCCTGCGATTCAGCATTCAAAGTTAAAGACAAATTCTTATTTTGGTCATTATTTTTATATTGCATACATTGTACATCAGTAAATAATTCCAATGGTGGTGTTGAATGTAGAATTTTTCGATAGAATACCATGGAGTCTAAGATGATCCTGCCATTGCTAGATATATAAGATTTCCAGACTTCTGGAATATCAATATCTTGAAAATATAATGAAGGATCTACTTCGTAATGAAGTAAACGACTAATAAATACTAAATCTATGGTATTTGGTATGTATTTGATATAGCCCTCAGGATCGAGTTGGCTATGAGCTTCAAATAAATCATCAGTAAAAAGTAATAAACATTCTTCTACAAGTAAATTTGCTGCATCTCTATCGATTTTTTTCATTAAAGATAAAGTTGAAACAACACCACAAGGATGCTGTAAAAGTTGGCGACAGGCTTTTTTCAAGTGTAGCTCGTGGTCAGTTATAGTTCGTTGAGCACATGGTAAAAGGTTTTCGAGTTCTTTCATGTCTTCATCAGTAACACCAATATTTTCAGCATTACGAATATTTTCGTTAGTTGATCGATCAGGACTAGAACATTCTGAACAAGCATCCATTTAACAATAATCTAAAATGAACCGAAATAAAAATTTAATATCAATATAGACTATCACAGATGAATACATTCAAGTAGTTTAGTATACACAGCATGTAATATTTATTTTGTTCTTTTCAAGAAATATTAAAACAAACTTAGATTACAAATATTGAAAAATTGCAATAACTATATATAGTCAGATACTCTACCTTTACACATGTCTCCTAATCTTATGAGCAAGCATGCTAATGATATTTTTTTTATTCAAGTAGTGTTTTCAACGTTTGTCTTAGATTCATAGTTGCAAAAGAATAATTAAGTCATTGTTCATACTAATCTGAAATTCATAAAGTTATCTTCGCGTAGCCTTTAATAACACAATCGTAGAAGAGTATTTTCCTATTGATGCTTTTAATCTGAAAATAATTTGTTAGAAATACTTTTCTAGTCGATATTGTTTAATAAACGACTATTCTGATAGAGAATCAATATACTTATCAAAGAGATAATTGAATGTAATTATAACGTCGAGGATATTGTATTTAATAAATTCGTAGTAAACTGCTGTATCAGTCAATATTGCAAGATAAGTTTCGGGTTCATATCTCTAAATAATTTCAGATTACCTTTTGTAAAAGTTAAATATGGCCTACAAAAACTTGTAGATATAAAAATAATGTCTTCACTAAGATCAAGATAGAATCCCCGATGAAAACATTCCGATAATGTGTTCATGACGCATGATATATTTTTATGTACGCGATATACGTCTGTCGTTATGGGTAACTAAAAGAAAAGTCCGAATGATCACGTGCACGTTCTGTTTACACTGGTTAAATCGAAATGAAGCGATTGTTTCAATAAATGATAGACATGTAAATAAACCAAAACATATAACTTCACTACAAAAACTTGAATATCACAAATTTAGTTTTATTCATTATGAAAAAATTCAATGAAAGCATTTTATTAGCCATGCAATATTACTTACACCATATTAGGAGATTCTATATCAAGTGATGGAGTTCTCCCGTAGTAAATTCTTTCAATTTTTAGTAGAGCAATTGATTTATCTAGTTGTGTTATGGTTGAATAAGAATGAAGAGTACACGATCCCTTTTGTTTCGTTGTGTTCTGTTATACCATTCTGCAACAATCGATACTGTCAGATAATAGAACAGAGCATTATGCAATACAAATATAATCATTTTTATTTCGATCTAGTAGATTCTATAAAATGGCTAGTAAGCTATTTTTTTATTTCATCAGATATTCAATGAGCAGAAGTGTTAGCTTAAGGAATACTTAATTCATAGTCAACAAAAAAATCGTACTAAAACTGTACGTTGATATCCACGAACATAATTGATGTTATATGAAGAAAAACGGCATATATGGAATATGTATGAAAACAAAACATGCCATTCTATGCAATTCATTATTAAATTTCATGCTAATCACTGTTTATTGATTTATAAATTTAAATGTCCATGAGACTCAGCTCTTCAAATAAACAACGCGATGTCTTTTATTTTCAGTTGTTAATTGTTTTATTATTGTTTGAGTTTTGAATTTAAGTCAATTGAATATATCAAGCTAGTCATGGATGATCAAAACATTGCTTTATATATTTGCTAGGATGTATTTGCTTGATGTGAAACAATTGATATGGTACAATAGATTCTGTCTTGCTGTTTCTTTGAATTTTCAAATGAAAAAGAAAGATAGAATAACATTTTCAGTTTTGCTGTACTCTGCAGTTATCTGTATTGCCTAAATAAAATTATTTTGTTCTAAGCTATTAATAATAGCTTCAGTGAAAACTATTTGTTTTTGAAAACATCTTTAACATGGTTGTAATATTTCGTAGTCTAGAAATTAGTTGTTATTTCTATTGAGCGTAGTTAACAAAAAGAAGTATGATATATGTAAGCATGGCAGTTGGAGACAAAAGCTAGGCCTGTAACACAAAAGTTAATCAGAAGTATTCAAAATTGAAATATCATTGAAACAAAAAACGTATAAGTACATGAATCTCACAAGACATATGAATGTAAAAACTTTCTTTTTATTTCTCTTGTTTGAATAATCAATCTGAATTTAGAAAAAAATGAAATTTAAGATAGTTATTTACTGATAATACTCCAATTTTGTTCTAGGACTTGTTCAAAATATTATTTTATTTTATATGATACAATGATAAAAATCATTAATTAGTGTTCCAAGTCAAAAAACATCATCAAGTCAAAGCACAGATGTGCATTCAAAAATTGTTCTTTTGTCTCGCATCAGCTGATATTCTAATTACAAAATGGTCATGATAATCTAAAAACCCAATATCATATAATGTGTCTACATATTAAATAGTAATAAGTTACAAAAAAATGTTAAAAAAGCATAATAGGAAGGCACTTGTTGAGATACAAGGAGACAAGTCTACAGTAAATGTGTGTATTCGATAAAAAATGTGTATGCGAGAGAAACAGAAACGAATATATATGTATATGTATCTAAGTCATACAGAAACAGAAAGAAAAAGCCCATGTGACATAGATGAACAATTTAATCATATTTTATCAAAAAGTTTAGTCAATAGAATATGCCATACTTATTTGCATTCTGTTAGAGCTGTCAAATCTTAATTGTCAAATATTCAATACAAATGAGATAGAAATATTTCTATAATCGTATGCATCGTTGAGGTGCACAGTTGCCCTTGTGAAATAGAATAATTTGTTGGTAAAGTTACTCAAATCAAATTTCATTTTCAGACAACAACATTCTGCCCAATTTTATTCTATTAGATAGCAACTTTCTCATTCATTTCATTTGTTCACAAAAAAAATACTTTCTAAGTTTAACTTTGATCTTACAAATGACCTACTCAATAAAAGAAATAAAAATTTGATATAAAGACATTCTAAATGTCGATTCAGCTACAACATGGTTTCTTATATGACTGAAGAACTTCTCTGATCATCGAGCACATCTTACAAATGCAAGTTCACGTTGAATAGATGTGAAACACTCGTATCATTTCATCGTATACAGTTCAATCTTATTTTTAATTCAGCAGCTATAGTTACAGTCAACATTGACTTCGAATTGTAGATCCATCTTTTCGTCATATGACTATAATAGTATATTGCAGTAAAGATTCCAAAAGCTAAATAAGGTACGAAACGTGTATCCAAGATATACGAAAATTTTCGGGGTACGGAGTATGATATATTTGACAGCTCTGTGTACACTGTTGTGATCAACTAACTATTTTGTTCTCATCTAAGTTGTTTGAAAAGCCTGTTTAGAAGGTTTTGAAACTAAATGATTACATGTAAACAAGCGAGGTTATTGCGTTCCTTGAATACTCTTTAATGTAACATATAGATTTATGCTATTATATAAAACTCAATTTATCAATCTTGCTAATTTTACCAAAGATTTTCAACGCTAACACAGTTTCTATCATGACGAGTATCAATCTACAGTACATATAGTATGCAAATGAATACATTTAGGATAAAATTATATATATATATATATATACAAGACTTTTACATGTGCACATTAATTAATCCCACATTTTCAATGCTGCTTTTCAGGATGTATAATTTTTAATTTATTAGTAAATATGTTTTATAATTCTCTATACATTGGTTGATGTTCTTCGTGAATACTCCACATAATAATCCAAAATAACATTTACTATTCAAGAAATGATACCTAAAACAAAACTTAATATCCAATAGGGTATATTTCCAACGATTCAAAATATCTATTGAACTTTTATGAACTTAACGATATTTTCAGCATCCGTTATGCTAACGCAATAGTAGAGAGAGATATAACAACGTACATTGTTAAAACAAAGTGAGTTTATTTGGGTTATTTGAAATAAATGTTCAAATTATCTTAAATTGCCTTTCGCCTGTTCGTGACTATCAAATAATCTTTATTTTTACTTTACTATTTGTTTCGTTAGAATTTTTGTGTGCTAAAATTATATTTTTGAACTGTGGATGATTAAAAGTCAAATGAAAGATATGCTATACCTTTCACTTCAAATCAAAAGTATCATTAGCACCTAGAAAAAAAGACAAAATGATCAATTTTAGTTTAATCACAGGTATCATTCTTGTATAGCATCAATATAACTACAATTATTTATATAGATTGTTGATTTTAAAATCTTTTTGTGAAAACTGCGTCACACAATATAAAATTCAGACACTTGTGTTAGGTTCACCTCATGTAGTACATTTGCACGAATATCATATCAATACGATGTAGTCGTCAAAAACAAAATGATTAATGGAAAGTATTAGGTATATCATGGAATGTAATCTGATTGGTGTAAATAAGAAAGGATATGCTACATACACTATTGTATGTAGCGTGTGAATGTAGCTTATCTTAACCCATTTCATTGGATAAGAAAGTAACGTTAGCGTTAGTTCATAGTCGAGTATTGAAAGACTGGCGACATCTGTTTTATACATTATCGTTAGTGCTCTTTTCAATGATATGCTTAGTTTTGCTGACTTTTGAAGTCGAACCTTCCTCGCATGAGGGTGACCGCTGGCTGGTTATGCCGGTATGTCTTCGGTTTATTGGAGCATTTAATGTACTTTTAACACCACTTATGCTTGAATGTTTAACAACTTATATTGAAAAATGGAAAACATTTGATATACATCCAATATCTATTCTTGATGGTCTTCATTTTCAAGCGCAAACACAATCCAGTCCTTCCATACCATCCTATGATTTGTCAGCAACAAAAATTTCCTTACTTTTACCGAAAATAAATGTTTGCCTATTACAAGCTGGTTTAGCTGAAGATAATGTTCAATTAACTGAATTACGAACACCAGTTGACATTGTAACAATGTCATTATTTGCACTTTCATGTAAACAAATTCAAATGGAAACAATTCTATCTAAACGTGATCAATCAACGGCTGGTGTTTTTAAGATTCAATCAATCACAGGCCAATTTCGTCGTTTTGAAAATGATTTTTCTTCAATTGAAAATGTCAATATTCATGCTATACAATCGCAACGTTGCCGCTTACAATTTCGTCTATCAACAGAAATTCAAACGCATCTACCAATAGGAGATAATCGAAAAAATTTTGGTTTTGTTATGAATGAATTTGGTTTACAACGGCTATGTTTTAAATTAATTAATAATGCAGCAAAACAGCAGCAGCAAAGAAAACTTATATCACCAACTATGACACAGATTGATGAAACACAAACAACAAGAGCTGCAACAAAGCACAAATCAAAAAGAAAACAATCCGCCGAAGTAAATTGAAAGATTTAGCTAGTTATATAATTTTTTTCTCGACCCTAGGCGAACAATTTTGTTCGTATTCTTGAAATGTAGACCTTAAGATTTGTTCATAACCCATGAGTTTAGTGCACTAACATGTTAAATCTTTACTTTTCTGAAAACAGAAATCTTGAATTCGCTTGTATCTTAAGTCATCATCCTTAGCTGTGCACAGACAAGTTCTACAAGCATTGGTCTCAACTAGGTAGGCATACACTAATTCCCATCCTAGTTTATCACGTTGGGTACCCGGCCTGAATGTCTAGCTTTTTCTTTTACTAATATGCACTGTAGTGGAAATAAAAATCACCAACATACTAATTTCACAAATATTTAGCCAATACTTCAATCACCATCAGCAACGGTTCAACCTACCGCAGCATCTTCACTCGTTCCAATACAATCGTCAAGCAGTATATTCGACGGATCTATTGATCATGTATGGATATCCTTTCCTGAACCTCCACATCATACACATTCACCATCGAACTCTTCCAAGCGCCCACGTGCAAATACAACGACAAATAATCAACAACTTCCAACACCGAAAAAGCTCTTTTCTTACACACGTTACGATTGGAATTTTCTATCAACATTATCGCCGACTGTTCTTGGTTGGTTTTGTGTTATTAATCGTATACAAGAGCCAATGGAACATTTTCTTCGTAAACGTGAAAAACGAGTTGATGCTATTCTAGCCTATTTCCTGATTGAAACAACCCCATCATCCACATTATCACAGAGTAAATTATATGAATTATTCACACCGAAAACAAAATATCTTCTTGCACATCCGGTTTGTCAACTTGTTAGTGAACTTCGAAAACATTTCAATAAAAATAGACAAATTCATATTAATCTACAGCCCAATCTTATACCTGAATTACAAATTCTCAAACAAGGCATACGCGAAGCATGTCGTGGTTGGGCTCAGACTATTAAACAGCAACCAAATAAAAATATCTCTCAGCCATCATCGTCATCAGCAACAACAACAACATCGCCCATTAATATTATTCTAATGACAAATAGTAATGATCAAGAACAACCACCAGCAGTCGTACGGGCGCCAACAATGGTTGATCGTGTTCAACGTTTCATGGGACATGAATTTGTTATAGCACATCCCCGTCATTCATTAGCACCAGCAAATAAACAGCAACAAGATGGCTTAGAGACTTTCATAGTCAACGGTACAACTGTTCGACGACGTATGACAGTACAAAATCCTCGATTGAATGTGAATAATAGAGAAACATTCATTGAAATGGACAATGATCACAATGACCCAACGCCAAATCGAGACCATCGACGTGCATCAGGCTTTCTCGGTAAGATTTGGTTATTCGGTTTTTTATTTGGTTAGAACTACAAACAAGTGTTTCTTGTTTCTATTGTTTTTGAAAAAGCTGATTGAAAATGTTTGTTTTCTTTTATACGAGTAGCTTCCCGAGAAAAAATACCACACGGTAGGATTGATATATTGAAGTTTTTATTTTCAGCTTTTGTCTATCGGTTTGTGAGAGTGGTGATTTAAATTAGAACGAGATATGTGAACATTTTTTTCGTATTATCAGTGGTTGGTAGTCTGATTATAAAAATGCATGAAAAAAGTGCAAATTTAAATGAGAAAAAGATAATGATACGATTTAGCGGAAAAACGAAAAAGTGTTCCACTGATTGTTATCTATTGAAAATTGATCGTGTGATATTATCCTGTTGCATGCTTGTTCACGTTAGTATCCGTAGACTGTAATTATTTTCCTATGGCACACTGACGTATGATTTTTCATCGAAACAAAAAACTCTTGTTAGTTTGTTAATGTGCAATTCGTTTGCACAAATGGAATAATGCACAAGATCTAATAATCGATGCATTCTCAACTCTTTTCGATTTGAATTTGCATCTAAACGGAAACTACAGCCATTTTTTAAAAGTCTCCTTTAAAACATTTTTCGGGCGAAATATCAAGTTCTCAGAAAAAATTCACTCTCACTTGTGATTGCTGTTTTTATTTCTTTCCTATTGTTAAATTCTCTATATATGTAATGATGAGATAATGAATAGACACATATGTATATCTAAATTATTATAGTCCCACCTGCAGGTCATATAAATGTAGCATTCGAAGAAGGTAAGATCGATGACGAATTTAACGGACATAATCAATGGATTAAAAATCAAAATAACTATATGCTAATGCTCATGCACATCAACTTGGCCAGGCGATTTCTAAACAACTATTTTCGACCAATGTTGTATATGTATTAAATAATTAAAAACTCAATAGATGCATGTGCATGACTTTTACGCTTCCTTTTTTTTCTTTTTCACAAAATATTAAAGAAAGATTCACATCATAAGAAAATTCTTAATTCGGTATTTTTTTCTTGATATTAAAAGGTGATGCTATGCGACGTTTTGAACCGACAGTCAATGTAAATAATGCAAATGGTTATAAACGCCTTAGCGTTGGCCTGGATGAATCTGATTTCGAATGTAATCCCACTCATCGTCACGATGATTCATTCAATGAAACAACTTATTACACTGATGTTGGACCGGAATTTGCGGGTCCAGTTGAACAATTATTTAAAATTTTACTTGAATATGCCGGTGTTCAACTATCAGTAACATCGTCGATTGAACCGTTATTTGAAAAGCTCGGCCAAAAAGTTCTTGCATCAGCACACATCAAACGATTCGACGTTAAAATTTTGCCCAATGAACCAACAGCTGAATCTCAATTATCCACAAATCATCCGCCATCGTCACCGCCAACAACCGTTCAGTTTCGTTTACCACATCTTCGCTCGTCAATATTTAATACATCTAATGAATTATCAATACTCTCGGTAACAAATTTAAATATTCAAAGTGTCTGTCGACAATCTCTTGAACATGATCAATTACATTCAGCTAACGTTCAAGCTGGCATACGCGTACAACGTGTACAACAAGAAGTTAATCTATCATTTATTCGTCTTGTTTATCAATTTTATACTGTTGTTGGTAACGCACTTGAATACACAGGTATCGATGAGATAACAAAATCTGATACAAATCCAACTCAACAACAACAGTCAGCTGAATTAATCAATGATGTCATACGATCAAATACCACAACCGATCATCCTGATAGTGGCATTCAAAATCTCGTTATAAAATCGTTTCAACCGAATCTACTTCGTATGGATGCTCATCTTGATGATGACGATTTAAGTAATACGGAACGGCAATGTTGGAAAAAACTGCGTGAACTTGTAGCAATTTATGGAACACTACCGGAAGTCAAACAAGTTCAGCCACCGGTATCTACAGCATCAAGAAAACAGCAACGAAGTGGTTCACAACCACCCAATGAAAATCTACCACACCAAAATACGAATGCATCATTCAAATATTTACAAACTCAAACACGAAATGTTTCAACAAATGTACCAAGTGAAACACTTTTACTATCATCGTTCGGTTGGTTGATTATCGATGAAATCTACTATGCAGCTTCATTGGGTGGTTTAAAAGTCGACGGATGCATGGGGAAAGTTCAAGGAAGTGTCAGTTTATCACAAAGACTTCGAGCGATATCATCAACAACTCGTAATCAAAATACGAAAAAGTAAGATTTCCTAGATAAATCTTAACAACCTTTTCCGTTCATTGGCCCTAACTTTGCTTTCTAATATAGATACGATGGTTCATTAATTGTGCAAATCGGTTCCACATCGCTTTCTCTAAAAGAAACCCTATCAACATCTACTGATAGTCTCTCCGTTGCAAATCTATCTAATAACAATTCAACTTCGTCGAATGCACCATCAACAACTCGACAAATATCTGTTCTTGATATCATCGTTGGTAAATCACGAGCATTAACATCACTGCAAACGCGTGGTATTAATCTCACATTAAGCGGTGTAACAAACATCGGTACCATCGCCATGGATGTTCCACTACGACCACAAGAAGTTCATGATCTTGTAAATCGGGCTGGCCGTTTAATTACATCCTACGTTCAAGAATTTCTTCCCGATGATACACAGCAAATGCCTACCGCACCATCGACAACAAATGCAAACATCGAATCGAACAATACGAATCTAAATGATACCATAGAAGAACAAAATACGCCTACACCATTAGAACGAACAGCAACTAAAAAACGTCTTGGTCCACGTCGTAAAAGTACCATAACATCCACTGTCAATACACGCCCAATAGACACTCAACATAGTACATCATCAGGAGCTAATAAACGATCTATATTTGAAGCACACATAACCGCTCATTGTCAAGGAATGACATTTTCTACAACGCTTCTATCAACATTAAAAGCACAATATAAAATCGGTGTTGTCGAAGGTGTTGCTAATATTGGCGGTATGACATCACGTTTTACAGCTATTATACATGAACATGCGCTTCATTTTTTAAATAATAACAATAATGATCAACGACAACCGCCAACGGTTAGTTCCGATAATCATGTACGAATCGATTTTCCGCAAATACGTTGCTATGGAAATTATTCAATTCAGCAAGAACAAGAAAATAAAGCCAGAGGTCATTTAAATCTTTTGACCAAAATCGATATACTTAAAATAACCATAACAGCTGATTTTCTTGCACAATTAGTTTTTGTTTCGAAAGTTATTATACATGAAATCAATGAAATTCTTGCTAAAGTTTCTGGATTCGATCAATTTCATTTCCGAACAAATAAAAATCTACGTTCATCATCATCATCGGGATCACAATTTATGAATACTAATGCAACAGATACGGAAGATAATTATGATGATGATGATGATGATGATGACGATGATGGACCGGAAAAAGATCAACAAACATCATCAGCAACACTATTTACATATAAAATTGATATAGTAATGAAAGGCTTTGAAGTTATTGGACAAACACCATCGAATACAATTGTTAAATTTGAAAATGGTGATACAAAAGTACCCATATTTGTTAAATTAACCAATTATCATGAACAGAATCCTGGGCTACTTTATAATAAACCATTAATTAATGCTTTGCTATTTATTAAACTCAGCTTAGGACAATTATTACATACAGGTGGCTTTCAAGATGCAGCTTACTTTAAAACAAAATTACTTGTGAGAAATTCATTTAAAGTAAGTTTTTACAAGATTATCTTTTCCCTATCTGTTGATGTTCATATCCTTGCAATATAATCATCCATCCTCTTCGATTCCTTTCTATTGAGCAAAGATTTCCAAAACAAAACATAGGACTACTAAGTCTATGATCGGTTTATTCCAGAAGTATTTTCTATGATTAAATGTCTTCTTCTAGTCTGATGATCCTGAAAAAGAAGCGTATTTTATTCGTTTAACAAAGCCCAGTTTCTACTGGCAACCCGGTGCAATTGATAAAGGTATTCTTTTTTGGTTGAACTATAAAAATACTTACGAACATTGGAATGAACAACGCGGTGCATTTACAACTCCGGCAAGCGATTCAACACGTTTACGTTCAATTGTTAATGTTCCAAGTTCTCCTGCCACAACGAAAGAACTTAATATTATGTTTCAATTACATATCGTCGATCTCGGTATTGCTATACCACTTCAACAATATGATCCGCCAGCAAAGTTAACGGCCGATAATCTCACAACCCAACTATTAAATTCTCAGCCATCTATTCCGACGTCAGATGAAAGCAGTGATTTTCTTGTATTTACACTTGATAAAACAACTATATCTGCATGTTCATGCGGTGCAATAATAAGCTCAGGTTCGTTCGAAGGCTTTTGCTTTCGATTTGCAGAAGATTTTCAACAAACAAATAAAAATTGGAAACCAGCGCGTTCAACATCATCATCAAATACTATTCTTAATGCGTGTTGTGTACCCAGCGGAAAATATTTAATGCATTCGCGCGCAAAAAATATTCTTAATTCGACTAGTCCAAAATGGTTTTTAAATGTTCAATGGGATATGAAAGGTATCGATATAAATCTTGATTCAATCATTGGCAAACGTTTTTCACAATTAATACGTACGATAACATCAACACATCTAATTGAACCTATTGATAATTTAAGTAATGATGACGATCTATTATCAAATCCAAATTCAATAAATACACAAGCTGGTAGTACGATGAATATTATGGAAAATTTAGATCAGAGTGAAGACGACGAAAGAATAAAACGATTAGAATATGAACATTTAATATTAGGACATAGAATTGAAACATTAAAGTTAGAAGAAAAAAACGGAAATATATTGATTTTATTTTGTGTAATTCTCTTTCTAGACGATCTCAAGCTCCCTTTGAAATATTAAAGCCAGAATTAGCAAGATACGAATGGTTAGAAAAAGAATTACTTCATACCGTCAAATCAGAAATACAACAAAAAATGAAAAAACAATCAAATAAGGTACAAGTAACATTCCGAATGACAAGAATATTGTATCATGGGATTCAAACTGAGACGTTCTCGGAGTTTTTCATTGAATCAGATCGCATCTTGAGAGCACTAATATTCTATTTCATCCATAGAAACTAAAATTTTCCCAACGATGACACAATGCATTAGCTGAGAATTTATTTTGTATTGAAAAAAGAACTTTCTAAACGTTGAATAATATAACTCAATGAGTTTATAGCCTCAACAACAGCAGCAACAAAACGAATTATTGCGACAACCAAACCCATCAATGGTTTGAATTTTTTTCCTGTTACTCTGAATGTTGTATTCCATACCTGCATGCATGTCTTATCCCATTTTTGTTTTTGTCTGCTTGAAGTCATAGACAGAATTCGTCTATGCATGTATGAATGCATTTCGTTATGCTTGATGTGATTTTTGTTTTGGTCGAGTATGATCAATAAGATTTATCTGTTTCTATTTAGTCTGGTCATAACCGAAATCGAATCGATTCGCCAATCCATAGACGTACAAAATCACAAGATAATATTACAAATTCAACGCAATCACCGTAAGTTTTTCGCTGATAATTTTTCTTACAAAAAAAAATACCGAATCATTCACATATTGCTATTTGCGTTTGTACGTGTGTTGTGTGTAATATTAGTAGGCGGCAATTTTCATTCCTATATGCAGCTACAGTAGCTTCGTCTCTTGGTAAACATTGTCGACGAATGTAAGATTCTATTATTCAATGCTTGCTTACGGCCTGTTGCTTCGCTTTTTCTAGAGAGCATAATAAATTAACTAATTTCTTACTCAACACATGAGAGATCAGTCAACTGGAATCGGAGAAACAAACCACAATCATTTTAAAATCGAATACTTTGATTAATATTTTTCTATGCTTTCTTTGTTGCAGGTCAGATTTGATTACACATCCATCGTCGATTGCTGAAGATGATACAGAAAAACGAGCATCCAATTCAAATACTCGGTAAATATATTTATCATCATGCAAAAACGTCCGTATCAGTCGATGTTATAAACATCTAATTTTAGTGTGTCTTCTCAAGAACCGACCGGATTCGACGATCATCATTCAATTACACCTAACACACCAAATGAAATAACATCAGCACCGGCTGTTGATCTCGAATTAAACGTACAAATTCAAATAGCCAGTGGCTCGTGTAATCTTTACACTCGTCGGGATTTAATATCGAATGCGTCTGTTTCAACGACGAATGCTGCCAAACAACAGCAGCAACAGCAACAGCAACAATCACAAGCAACTATTGGTGCAATTGTAAATGTGAATAAAATTGAATATCAAGTATCTCAATTTTCTCTACCGGGTGTTGATGTTGATGCACATTATAACTCGAAACATAATAATACAATAAACAGTGCGTTGAATAAACGAGCTAGTTTCTATTGTCGCGCTATGATACAATCGCCATCATCACAAATTACAATACATCCATTGTTACTTGATTTTCTCGAGCAAACACTTGAACATGTCACCTTACCAAGAGAACAAGAACGACAAACAAATTTACAACAAGAACAAGTGCAAACAATCAATGGACAAAATTTAGATAATGACCATTTGAATACAATGTAAGTTTAGCGAAAGCATACTAAAATATTAAATACGAATATAATTACCTATTCGATGTTTTGCTTTGCTATTGTAGGTTTTTAATCGAAGATCAATCATCAACAACATCATTTCCTATCGATGTCGTTGTTAGTCTTTTTATTCAGCCGTCAGTTCTTCTATTTACGTGTTTACCAACGCATCCAATGGAATGTGAACTTCGTCTGCCAACAGTTGACGTTGTATTTTCTTCGAAACGTGCCCTATCCGATAATATACCATCATCGACCACAACACTTGCAAATGATTCTGAACAAATTATTGAAAATTCCTTAGGTGGCTTAAGTTTCTCACTCTATATGAAAGACTTTAAACTCAATGTTTATCATCCGTTTTCTGGCGAATCAAAAGTGCATTTATTTGAAGATATACGTTCGGGACAATTACAAACACGCAATGCATTAGCAGTGAGTGTACATTCAGTTTCGTTCAATATTTCACGTACACGTTATACATTAATTGAACGTGATGGAGAACTCTTAAACAGTATACAACTATCTGTTATTGGCCAAATATCGAAAGCACAATTTGAATATGATATAAGACGTTTTTCAGAAATTTTAACATTTCCAAAAATATGGTATAATCGTTCACTGGCTCGTCGGCTATTCTTAGGCGATGAAAATTTGCCAACAACAATTTCATCATCAACGACAATAACACGGCCGATAGCTCCAATTAGAATAAAGACAACAGCGAATAAACAGTTACGTAAAGAAGCTCGAGTACTTCTAGCAATACAATTAAAAGAACTACAAATATCGATGCGTATGTCAAATGTTATGGGCAAAGTTGAATGGAATACAACAGATGTTTGTTCAACTGGAAGTTTAACATTGACAAGCGATGGACAGCGAGCTATCTTTTTTTCGTTAGGCCTTCAAAAGTCTCTTTTTCAAGCAGAACAAGGCATTGTTGGTGGTAATATAAAATTGCAAAATCTTAGAACTACAGGTAATTTTTTTATATCCATAAATATCAGTCCTGATGAATTGTCACATTTGAAATATAAAGCTATGAAGAGATACTATAGATTTCTGGAATAGTATTATTATATATTTTTTGTTTGTCTCTGTTAGGTCTAATTCGTCAAGGTCTACATGGTCGTGCGCTTCTCAATGCATCATCTCATGCATTCAATGTTTTAACAAATGCCATTGAGATTCGTCTTGATTACATGGGCTCTCCAACATTAATGGGTCGTATATCTCATATATTACTTCGATTGAAAGATGACCATCATGGAATTACCGGTGATCACTCGGCACCGCCATCAACACTTGTACTTCTGAATCTTGAATGGTCACAGCTGCACCTCATGATAACACGTTCAACAACACCAGATATAATAAAAATGGCAATGAAATTAACGGAATTTTTCAATTCTCAATTACTTAATTCAAAAAATCTATTAGCCTCAATTCAATATGATTTTAGTGATGGTACTAAACGAGATAGTATTGAGAAAAAAACTAACAACGGACAATCGAAATGCGATACAAACATTATCAAACGATACATTGGCATGCACGGAGGAGAACTAATGTTGCAAGGGCATAATTTAACATTAGTTGTTTTTCATGGATTAAATTTTTAATCACGTCAATGGGCTTTATTTTCACTTAATGAACCACAGATTAATTTTGTTACCGATCGAGGAGAAAATGGCGATAGTAAGCGGATTTTATTTATTTTAAAAATCATGCTGTATTTTCCTTTTTTTTAAAGTTAACCAAAAATTATTCTTCTATTTGGGCCATCAAGGGCAAACAATGCCATCTAGTCTCAAATCCCGCACAAATATGGCTTCAATATCCAAAGTTACAAGAAATAGTAGTGAAGCACCGTCACATTTAACCATTAATGAATGGTTTAATTATGCCAGTTCAACGATTTCTGCTGTTGGTACGTTACTTGTTTTGTTATATTCGCTCTACACAGTGTTGGGGTATAGAGGAGGTAGCAATTCGCAACCCTACATCCCGTTCTAATCTTTGTATATGTTGATGTATTTAATACAATAATCACATTTTTAGGTCTACGAGATTTTCCAAGTATGGACGATGTTCCAACTCCAACACCAACAAGTAAAGTACGTTCCAAACAATTTGAAAAAAATGCGGAATCAATCTTTATTCTTCCTGGTCTTGAACTAAGCTTTCAAACACGTCAATTAAACGGTAAAAAAGCGTTTCTTTTTTTTGCTCGTATAACTTTAATTGGAATTTATTTTGTTTAGGGGAAGTGTATTGTAGTTTTGAAACAGAATTTTACGAGCATATCATGTTTACATTCAATGCAGAACATTTTTATTTCTTACATGATCTTATTTCATCGTATATTAAAGAAAAAGGTTAGAGGATAAATCGAATTCCAGAGTCAAAATCTAATTTCTATTTGTTTAGCATTAACCGTAACAACAAGTGATAAGCCACGGCAGCGACCGGCACCACCACCACCAACGCCGGCATCGGCAACAACGTCGAATCCAATGGAAAATCAAACATTAACAACGTTTGATGAACCTCCAAGTGATGATATACGCCGTTTTCATTGTCCAGATACTAAATGGAAATTACAGCCAACAATAAAACTTCTAACTGCATACGGAAATGAAGTTGAACCATTTGGTGCTGATTATATTTTACAAAAATTAGGTTTTCGTCATGCCCGTTTAACAATACCGAAATGGCTTCAGCGTGGTATTATGGATCCATGTGAACAATCGATGACTGTCGTACAATTGTTTCTCATATTTCTTCTACCGGAACGTTTCAAAGAGATATGCATGCGGCAGTAAAACTTCGAAAACATAAAAAACAATACTCTTACTCAAGCTCATCAATGCATTTGTTTTTCTATTGTGTTCTCTAGTCGTTTGATCGAAACTCTACTTATTATGTCTGCTTCTTTTCTCTTTCTTTTTGCTCAACGGACAAGTTATTTTTGTAATTTTTTTATTCTAAGAAAAGTTCAATTTAATTAGTTCGTTCTTCATTTTTTTTGTCATTGTGTGATAAATAAATCAATAAAGCGTGGTTTTTATGATGATTACTCAAACAGAATCTATGGTGAATAGGTTAACGATATTTTTTGAATTTACATGAAAATCTGAGTAGACAAAAACGTGCAACAAATAATTGTTCGAGTTTGTACAGACTACATTTAGTATGTAATATCAAATCGATACTTTATAATAAGAACATTGAATTCAACAAGTACTAGCAAGTTAGTTCTACGTATGGTTTACTGTCATACCCACCTTAGTTAATGGGTGTGTTGAACTATAAGCAATAGTGCCAAAAACCATCGACCGTTGCTGTCTTTGGAGTGCAACAATTTGACCTCGTATTTCATTAGATCGCTGTTTAAAATAATCGAGTTGACCGTTCGGATCTATACCAAAATTTTGCGAAGTACTGAATAAGTTATTATACTCTCTCTTGATTCGATTCATTGATTCCTTATCAACCAATGAATGACCAACACCGAAAAACGATATTACATCCGGATGTCGGTCTATATTTTCCAACAGAACTTTTAGATCTTCGTATATTTAACGTATCGTTAGTAGGGATAGTATGAAACAGAAATGCTGCTTTTCCGATAGTCAGCAGTTCCGCCTCAATATCGACTGAAGACAATTTATTCGTGACATTGCAAGACTCATTTATATTTTCATCATTTGCTGAGCATGTTCTGGATAAAACGACTTGATGTTGATTCAACAATAATATACAGCATATCTGAAAAACAAGAGATGCAATCCTATGGTACAAGAAAAACCCGGCTAGTTTATTTACTAAAACGATGTGGCTACTCTTCATAAAGAAAACTTGCATGTCTGCTACTTTTTTTACTTGGTAAAAAGGTGTATGTGTGTGTACTTGTCTTGTAAACAAGCATCAACTGTTTTTATAGTCTATCATTGAATGTGCTACAATCGAAACACTTCGATACTATATCATTTCTTTTTTCCCCATAGAGCCATACGATATCAAGAATGATCTCGATCGTGTCGATATGATTACTCGCGTCAATAGGTTACATTCGATATCGTATGACGCGTATGATAATATATTTGAATGCATAGATGATTGATCCTCCTAGCTATTTACACCAAGGTAAGGCACATTTTCGACCATAAAAAATAAATAAAATATCGCAACACAGTCATCTAACGAATAATTTTCCACTTTTTTACGCACATACGAAAACAAACTCACTGTTGGAGGTCACCGAATCACTTTATTCTCCATTTTTCGATCGAACTCTTTTGTGCTGAAACTTGATGAAGCAAAAGTAGACACACGGAACAATCTTCTATTGTTCTCTAAGGATATTTCATAGGCTCAACAAACAGCAAGAAAAATGTCTTCAACTTAACGTGCTATCATCAATTCACGTTTAATAGGAAACCTTCCCAATGTAAAAATGATACAAATAGCAAGCCTAATTAGTTTGAGGTATTAATTTCAGGAATAATTAGGATGCGCATGTCCATAGGTGTTTTATGTCAATCATCTGATTGCTCACACAAATACATGTAGCAGTGACGTTTTTTTTTGCATAACATCGATTAATGTGCATAGAGAAAAAATACTCTGTGTGTATTTTGTGTGCTCTGACAACACAGAATCCGTTCTTTTTTTTTGTTTTTTCGCGGTCTTCTAGGAACTGGAAAACTGCCAGATGAAATATGATTATTAATTTTTGATTATCTACATAAATTCGATTTTATCTAGTTTTTTTTGATGGTTTAAATCTACATCTTGACCAATTAATCAGATCTTGTGCGTCGGCAATTGATTTCAGTGATATGTCATTTAAGTTATACTATCGTTTTTGTCGAGAAATACTTGCTATTCGTGGCCATATAATTTGCGATCTAACTATAAAGGTAGTCATGCGTTAAACGTCTTTCGCGTGGATTCTTAAGGATGTGAGAGGGTGTTGCATGGTGTAGATTCTTCTCTACACGCAAACGCACACCCACACCTGCACCATTCTTTTGTGTTTTCTAAAGAAAATTACAATACGAGATTCTGTCAAGTAGTCTTTATGGACTACTATTACAATTGTTTCATTCAGTTCCATTTATCCAGACAATAAGAAAATATAATGTTTGATAAGACATTTAAAAAAGATCTCCATAAAAAAATAAGCATACATTTAGTAACTGTGAGAAGGTGTTTTTTTAATTTAATATTAGAGAAAGCAAACTTTGTCTCATACATTTTTAATGTGAGCGAAGGATATCTTTTCAAGTATGAACTGTTCTGCCAAACAGTAAAGAGAAAATTATTTTTATGCCATAAAAAGCACGCGCTACAAAGTATTGTGCAAATGACGCTGCACATAACAATCGATTGTCCTGGAAACTAAAAAAATTGAAATAAGCTTCATCCAAACAATAATAATATAAAAATGAACATTCGCCGATCTCTTAACCAAGAAAAAAGTTGATTTTTTTCGATTGTTTATATAAGGACAAACGGTCGTTTGCAAAGTAACAGACAAATGTAAGTATATCTCAACATTACATAGAAATCGGCATGTATCCATTGTAATTTTGATTAATTACAAATCAATAGTTATTGTTGCAATTAGTAAACCTCAAATGAGACTGAGACGTTAAGCGTAAATATCTTGTTTCGCTTCATTGTATTCCCTCCAATGAAAGGAATTCTCTCAAAACAGTATATGAGATGATTGATTGTCACAAGATTAAGTTTGACGAAACGTTTTCAGGGTCACGAAATCGAAATCTGCAAATATTTTTTCGAAATTTTTTATTTTATGTTTTCTGTAAAAGAGAGCTATGTATATTCTTCATCGAGTCATCTTCTTATTATCTCTATAAATAATACTGAGACTACAGTCCCAGTCGATAATAATTATGTGATCACAAGTCGCAAGGTACTTTTTCAGAAAATAGAAAAGGATAAAAATAGACAGATCTAGTGTACAGTATAAATGAAGGAGCTTATTGCAAAATTTAAACGAATCTATGAAAGCGATAGAAACATATTTCAAAAGCATGTTCAGAATACATAATGATATTTGAACAATTGATTGAAAAGAATAGCAGAGTTTTTAATTTAGTTGAATAAATTATGTTGAATGAACTTTCTTAATTTATATAAGTACCTTTGATACCAGGAAATCAACCAATTAACGTTTTCTGATGCGAGATCTAGTACGATGATGATGATACTGACACACATATGAAACCTATATGATAGATTTCTATTCGGAGTACAAAATTCTAACATTTTGCCTTATTGTTTATTTTTAATACAAGCGAGACTGACGGCGAGTGATGTTGGTAAATGAATACAGTCACTCATTTATAAGGTTTTCTAGTTATGACTACAGATTCAGGAGATCTGTAAGATAGTGTGTATTGCCTAGACTGGATGACCTGAAGCAATGTCTGAACGTTTTTTCAAAGTATTACTAGAAAACAGTTGCATAAGAGGCGTAAATGGTGTGAAAATTACATTCGACATAGAATATATCATCATCGATTTGAGTTTTTTTGAATGTAGGGAGACTTCATTGAAATACAAAAGTGTTGTACTTTTGTGAATTTGTACATAGACACGGATATACACATATGCATTAGTGTAGATGGATATTAGTTGTCTATACCCTTCTAACCACGGATCATGGTATTCTTTCATTAGTTTCACCAAGTCTTACATATGAACAAACTATGAATTAAACTGTGGTTTAATTGTCCCATATATAAACCCGAACTATTCCATTACAACATCAACGAGTTTACCAGAAGTTCATTTCTCTACTAATCAGCCTATCAATGACGTTTATGATGGAGAATTAGAATTTGTGCAGAAAGATACTACAAATACAATAAGACGTGTTTTTGAACTAATTAATCACAGGTAAATTGAAAGTTCTCCATCAAATAGTCGAAATACTTATCAAAATAGCATTTGAGATACATTTTGCAACATGGACCAATGCTAAATATAAATCTTTTGAATATATTATAGATTTGTGTATGATGTTCGCTGATGGAAAGCGCGTTATGTTGTCATATAATCACAAGAGTAAAAGTATTGTCAAACTAGTTTATAACACTTTGTTAGCTGAAAATATTCCTGTATGGTTCGATGAAAAAGACATGGATGACAATATATATGACAGGTATAGATCGCAATACAGAAATTATTTTCTAAATTTAGCTGTTTTTGAAAAATTAGTATGGGTGAGGCGGTTGAAAATGCTTCAGCTATCTGCTGTTTCATGACACCAGAATATGAGAATTCCACGAATTGTCAATTGGAATTGAAGCGTGGACAAGACCTTGGCAAACGTATCATTGCATGTATGGTTGGAGATAAAAATGATAGAAAATGGAAACCCTCTGGCTGGTTGGGACTTATAATTGCAGGGCTCACATATATAAACTTCAGAGATGACTCCGACTCAAACATTCGATTGAGAGCAGGAGAACTTATTGACAGAATAAAAAAGCAACCTTCGACTTCTGCTACAGAATCGCTGCCGCAACCAGTAAAGTTGTTTGAAGAGATTAGACAAAAATATATACGAGAAAATAGAATCAAGCGTATGGTGAATGAGGAAAAACGTTTCACGATAGAACAGAGTTACATTAATTTGGCTATAGTAGATGCCAAGGATCAGCAAGAAAAAGAGAAGAAGCTGAAGGAGCAAGATCAAAAGATGAAAGAACGAGAAAAACAAAAGGACTTTAATCTCGAGAGGCAACATGGTGAAATTATCGGAACTTACGAAGAAATCTATGGCCAT